CCCCCCCCCCCCCCCCCCGTCTACATCCCGCTTTCGTGGTCATACATACCCCCCGCATACTATTGCTGAACCCCCCTGTTCCCTCGTTTTTGTTCGGTGTTTGTCCAACTGCCAGCGAAACAGCAGGACACAAGTCAGTTCTCATCACCGAGCGCACCAATCGTCATGGCACCACTTCGAGCGTGCGCTCCGTTGCGATATCTCGGGGCGTGACAGTTAGTTGTGTTGGGCATGGGTGCTGTGTGTGGGAAGACCTTCGTGGCGGCGTGGAATCCAAAACGTTTGTTTTGGCCTGGGCAATCGGGCCGCATCGATCGCCAGGCGAAAAAGCAAACCGGATTTCACATCGCCACGATGCTCTCGCCACATACAGCACCCATGCCAAACACAACTATCACGCCCAGAGACACCACAATGGAGCACATGCTCGAAGTGGTGAAATGGCGATCGGCGTCTTAGGTTTCGAGAACTAATGTGGCGCTGTTCTCACATTACTGGCAGTTGAACGCGGCGGCGGAAAAAAGTAAAACATGCGCGACAGCAATACAGAGCCTCATCACATACCGCAGAGAGTCCAGCGGCATCGAGCCCAGATGCTGTCGCCCGCTGTGCGTGTGTGTCGTCTGTTATGTGTACGCTATTTGCTGTGCGTGTGTTCTCTGCTGCAATCCGCTGTGTGCCCCGAAAAAAAAAAGTTCGTCTGCTCACCCCTGTAGTCTGAAAGCAAACCATGTACTCTAAGAAACCTAGACTAAGCGAACAGACGTGACAAACGTTTTTTTCTTGATGGGGCCCTACATTGCGGCGAGACCTCAGGCCAGATTAGAATTCTCGCTTCGCTCGAATAACAAATGCTCCCGTCTTTAGCTTCTTCGCCATAACGGCCTACATCGCCGTGTTTCCTTCATAGAGCAAATCGTTCACGCGCTTCTTTACTGGGACCCATTGGGAAGGTAGCAAGTCCCACCGCAGGGAAAACATGTGAGTATCGGAAAGAACGTTCTTCCTCACAGCGTTTGGAAACAAATTGATCTAGATCCTCACTCCTGTGAACAAAGGTCCAGCTTGAAATGTCTTGAAACGACTGCTGTGGTTACAGGCCAACTCGACACGCAGCAGAGGTGGGGATGAGAAATGATGAACACTCAGCAGGTGAATGGACACAGAGAACGAACGCAACACATACCGGGGTCATTGTTCGATGGGCGAGCTAAGGCGGCACAACCATGAGTGTCATTCCACATGGTGAAGAACTTTTCAGCAGCTGCTGCAGCTCGTAGCCTACTGCTAAGGTCCATTCGTATTGGATGCACAAGCACACACTCGCCTCTCGGTAGGCGCTTGTAGCGGGAGCGGACTTCCAACCCTTCGGGAGAAGCCTGTCCCACCTTGTGCTAGTCCAGAGCTTCGGCATACGAAAACAAAATACATGTACGGGATAGGAAGGCCGGTATAGGTAAGCGGGCATAGCACGTGCAGGTCACAGGTGCAGAGCATCCGTCACCGGACATGGCATATGGTGACACGCATGCGCTGCAATGCACAGCAGTACGACCAGACCACAAGAATCATGATTAAAAAATCTTCCACGAGACTGGCATGAACCGGCGCACAACCGGAACCCGCTTGGGGTCACCGCATTCCCTATTCCATCCCAACGATAAAGGGCCAATGTGCGACAACAACACTCACAACGGTTGACCAATCAGCAATCCAGTTCGATCAGCACACCTGTTTGGACTTGTACCCGCCGCGACTGCCGGCGAGGTACATCGTGGACATGTTTTCTCTCTGTCGGCGGTGGCAGGCCGCGCACGGGTCTGGCCTTCCCAGGCTCTCCCAATCGATGTCCTGGCCCTCTTCTTCATCATCGATCTCGGTGGGGCCTTCATGCGACACTCCGAAATGGAAGCCGACGAAGGGGTAGCTCGTCACTGCCGTCCTATTGGCCAATCGAAGGAAGCAGTAGATATTGGGCCCATTGTGAGCTTTGTCCAAAACTATTGTCATCTTCGCGACCACCCCATCACTATAATCCTTACATCTTCACCGACGAGTCACCATCTTCGTCGGCAGCATCACAAACAGCAGCGTCAAAGGATGGCAGACAAGGAACCACATCGAACGACTCCACGACGGCGTCCATTTACGTGACAAAAAAACATAACGGCAAGCCTTCCGTGGTGCCTGCACCTTACCACCGTACGCAAAGCAGGCACGGGCGAGAGGTGGTATTACGCAAAACATATTAATACTTTGGCAACGGCGAACCGAGTTGGGGAATCAACGACAACGAGCACTAGAAGCACTCCTGTGACACGGTAGCATGAGAGCGACATCCTGGTTCCTCGAAAAACGGATGAAGGGCCTTCAAAACCAGTCAGCGGCACATGGTTATGAAACCTCATCGGCAGATTTCTGAAGTATGTAGTTAATCAATTCGGCCATTGCGCCATATACGCTATTGGTCGACCTCTGCACGAACCCGAGTCTAAGACAAACGGTACCGCATTTCGTTCACATGTTGCTAGCTGTGGGATGAACAGACTACACGCTAAGCCAACACGCTCGTCTGGCGCATGTTCGCCTAGGGATGGCAAAATCGGGTCGATCTGGCTCGCACTGCAAAATTCTTAAACCATCAAACGTCAAGCCGCCTATCCTGAAACTTCTAGCATGATCTTAGTCCGTAGAGAGACACTGAACGAGAATCGAGCATCGAATAAATTCCTTTTCTTCCCACCTTCATCTAGAGGTGCTCAAAGAAAACTGCGTCTCAGTTTACACACAGCACTATGACACAGGGAAACCCACCGTGCTCTCGTAAGGGTGCTAACAATCAACCCACCAGAGACCTTCTGTTGGCCACAGTCAGTACTGCGACGCATGGACGCGAGCAACGCTAAAAAAATCACCAAAATAAAAACAAGCGCCGCCACGCTTTTCGCCGGCGCGATGGCTAGAATGCGTCAACCGACATAAGTACAAGACCCTCAATCAAAGCAAACCCACTTCTTCCACACAAAGTCTCACATGAACTCCTGGTTCCACGAACCCCCCGCCGCGATACTCTCTCGGATGGTGCATACGCGACCTTCAAAGTTCTTGATGGCCTTACGGTAGTCGGTAAAAGCGTGCCTCTTGGAGTCGAACTTTTCCATGAAGGCCGCGCCCTTCCCTCCCCCTTCGGAACGGCCAAGGTCGTAAAAATATAGCACAGCGGCCCCAAAGCAATCGGCCGACACAGGTGAAACAACGACAAGGGATTGAAATGGTGGGAAACGTGTGGGAACTATTGTCGTAAAGCCCGCTAGTGTAGAGAAATGTGACGTGTGCCCCGAGAAACAAAAGATTTCAATGGCGAGAAGCAGGGGTCTTCAATAATACCAGTCGCCTGTTGATCAACCGTACCAAATTCCTTAGAGAGGTTTGGCGTGTGGCACCAGGCGTGGAAACAAGTACGCTCAGAGAGCGACATCAAAAAAGATATCTTAGGTGGACCAAACCTTAATGTTCACCTGCATCCAGCCCTTTTCGGAGGACACCCGCCCCTGCAGCGTCGACAGCTTCTTTACAATTTACCATGACTCTAGCATTTTTGCGACCACGGACCGAGTCTTTGCTAGATTTTGGGATGAGCAACTGACACGAGTTAAATGTGAAGACAACAACAACAACAACAACAACAACAACAACAACAACAACAACAACAAGCACCGGAGATACCTCACTTGACATGCCACTTGTATCACAATACACATGCCTCACGAAAGAAGTAATTAATACCAACACACACGGGATGGGGCGATGGTGTCGCTGTTACCTCAGTAGTGAAAGGACTTGTATGAATAATGCCCGTGCCGGTGGTCGATCGCAACCGAACATACTTGCGCTTCAATCCATAAACTGGAGATCTGTGATGGCGTGAGCTATTGCCATTCACCACTCGAGTGTGAAACTGCGGGGACAACACAGTGTTGGGCTCGACCACTTAGGGTTAGTACGCACGGGAGAGAGCCCTCTCCATGCATCACCATGCCATAGCAGAGAAACCGCCCAGGCCGTGATGTGCCTGTTAGCCCTGCCTTCGCGGCTAGAGCAGGTACCACAGTGCCGTTTTAATCTGACGTGGATGTCCCATTTTGCTGGCCTCGCTCACCTTGAACTGCCTTGGCCAAAAACTCCAGGTAAGTGTACCACATGACATTTTCGTGCTCCTCCTCCGTGAGGGCGGCGCTGACGCAAGGGATCACAACCGTGCACCGTGTGCATACAAGGTCAGGGTAAGTTGGCGAAGAGGTGATGCAAAAAACAAACCTGGTGTATCGAACCCACACGGTGGAACCAAAGGAGGAAGCAAACAAACGGCAAAACCGATGGGGGTCTCGAGGTCGGACATGTCCCAAGCATGGCTTGTGGCGCACACGTCTTTTCTGCAAGCAGAACTCTGCCACTGCGGCAGCAGCAGCAGTACAAGGGAGGGCACCTGCTCATGGCGACCACCGTGTCTTCCACGTCCGGATCGTCCTCCTGCATCTGCTGGAACAGCAATGCCCCTGGGTTCTCCTCTACCTCACTTTCCTCTTCCTCTTCCTCCGCCAGCACCCTTCGACGCTTTCGGCCCCCTTTCCGCCTCCGACGGTCGGGCATGCTCTCATCCTCCTCGTCCTCCTCCTCCTCGCCGCCAGTGCCTGCACCGCTGCCGTCGTCCGTATTCTCGAGCGACCGCAATGGAGACGGTGATTCTCCCGGCGGTGTTGCCCCACGCCTGCTCCTCGTGCGGACTTGGCCCGCCGCTCTTCCCCTCGCTGTGGGCGCACGGTTCGTCGGCGGTATCGCAACGTCGTCATCACAATCTGCCAAAGGTACGCGAACAAGTTCCGGTGGATATTATGCCTATCTGTCCCCGTTGCGTGTGTGGATTCTGTGACGCTTCCGACACATGTACACAATGCTAACACCCTACCCGGGATAACCCTTAACGCTTTTCAACGCATTCGCATTTTCCTGGGAGTTCTGTACGACCTGCTCACAAACCGACTTTCTGTTGAGTTCGGTGACACTACCGAAGCCCCACCCGATACTGCTGTGACTTCTGAGGCACTTCCGAAACCCCACCGGGAACTCGCAAACCACAAGACACACCATTTCCCCATTGTCCCCCGCTCTCACCCTCGCCAAATACCTCCTCCTCGCTGCTGCTGCTGCTGCTGCTGCTGCTGCTGCTGCGGTTGGGTTGGAGTCTGCCCACGTCTATGCCTCTTGGACGCTTCGGTTTAGACTGTGACCCAAATTTCGTCGTTCTGGGGCGCTTCTTTCCGGTGACTTCAACAGATCCCCCGTCATCACTTTCCAAGTCCTCTGGCGATAGACCCTCGTGAATAGCTGCGTAGTTAATTCCGGTCGACGCCGCAGCACGCCTTGGTCTTCGCCGCCCCCGGCTTCCGCTTGCGCCTCCTCTGCTCTTTGACGATGTCTTGGTAGCTGCTGCTGCTGCTGCTGCTGTCACCGACTCGTTGTGGTTTTCGTTGTCATCGTCGGCACCTCGGGCAATATCTCTGGCTTTAGCTTTTCCTTTTCCCTTCCCCTTGGAGATCGCCGGTGCGACGTCAACTTCCTCGTCACTATCTTCATTCCACAGGGCTTCGCCTTCCTCATCCTTTCCTCCCTCTTGCGTTTCGCCGTAATCTTGCGCCTCTCCGGAGGTATCCCCAACAACAGTGGCACCACCACCAGCGACGATGTCTTGCAGGGAAGAGGCATCTTCCAGCACACCATCAATACCGCCTCCTGCACTGAGGCCCAAGCCCAGCTTCGTAGACTCCGGTCCCTTATCCGCGTCGACAATAATGCGATCGCTATAATCATCATCATCATCCTCCTCCTCCTCGAACACCCTCCGCCGTTTTCCTCTACCACCACCTGGTGTGCCGCCCGGCGCACCGGATGCGTTGTTTTTCGCGGTGACAGCTTCAGCGCTAGCCTTAGCAGCCTTCACGGCCGTCTCAGAAACGCCTTGTGCTGCTGCCGCTGGTGCTGATAATGCCGCCTGGCCCTCCTGCTCCTGCCGGACCTGCAAGGGACCAGTGACGATGTTTTCTGGCAACCCAACCCTGTCTCCTTCGCCACTGAGGTCTAAGCCCATCTTGGCAGAGTCCTGCCCCTTAACCGCATCGACGGCAACACAATCGCTATTATCATCGTCGTCGTCCTCCTCGAACACCCTACGCCGTCTTCCTCCACCGCTACCTCGTGTTCCGCCCGCTGCACCGCGAGTCCCTTTTCTTTTCGACCTGATAGCTGCGGTGCTAGCCTCAGCGGCCTTCACCGCTCTCTCAGGAACGGCTCGTACTACGACCGAGGTTGCTGTTGACGCAGCTTGATTCGATGCTGGTTGTGATGGCGATGCCGCACTAGAATGATGCGCGTCTGACGCTGAGATGGAAACCTCGTCATCAGGTGTAAGGTACTGCCAGTCATTCAAGCCGTCTTCACCGGTGGTGTCGGCTTGGAGTACTGATTCCGCTGAACCCTCGGGAATCGGACATTGTTCCTTCTTGTGTTGTTCCGCATCGGCTTCTGTGGCGTCGCTGTCGTCTTGTTCCGTGCTGATTTCCTCAGTATCCGCCTCATCGTCTGACGCCTGTACCGATCAGAAGTAGGGCACAATACTCGATTGATGTCAATTCATAGCATATAACATCGAACGCAGATTGTCCGGAAAAGGTACCGTTCCAAAAAAACAAAACAAATCCTTGCAAGGCAGACAGTCAGTAATGCGAACAACAACGGTGGCCGAATCAGATTCGTGTTCAGACTAGAAGACTGCGCCCGCAGGACAGGTTTAGGCCGTGTTAAGGGTACGGACCATTGGCGAAGAGGGGGGTGGGAGGCAGGGTCAAGAGGCTGTCTGGCTCTCCCATCAGCATCGATCGCCTCTGTCGTGGACCAAAAAAAATGGAAACGACTCTCGGACAGGCACCAAGGCAACGTAGAGGCCAAGGATTACCGTGTGCGATGTTCCAGTTCAGCCGAATACATACTCCTATGTAGCACAACAATGCCCTGTACATCATGAATGGATATGGCTTCGTGGGTGGTGCAAAAAGCACCCAAATGTGTCGTAGTATTAGTATTCTAGAGATGTCGTATTCGACGCTTACCGCAACATCCGTCTTGCGGTCCGTCATGCGGGCGATGGTCGCCAAGCACTTGGCAAGCAGAAGTTCCGTGTCCTGTAAGAGCCAGGGGCGCGAGAACGTACAGAGAGACCATGAGGGCCACAACGCAGAAGAGACGAAAACGCAAGTCTCTATAGACAAGAGAAGAACACTAGGCAGGCAGAGGCCAACATTATCCGCTCAAATAGCACGCTGCGAGGCCGTTCTTCACAGACAGCTGACGAGCTTCCACGTTTTCGCTGCCTATCGCCAAGCATTCGCAAAAGCAACTCTTGCAAAGCTCAACCTCAACGCCGCGGAGGGATAGTGTAGAAACCCCAGGCAATATGATATCTAAGTCCCACGAGTGACATCTCGGGCAGGAAAACCCAAAACACTTGTACCTTCTCGAGGCACCTTTCGACTCACCGCCGATTTGTCTTCGGCGAGAAGTTCCTGAGCGGCCCCCCTGAAAAACTCCGCCCTGTCATCGCTGACTCCCTTTATCTGCTGGCGGGCAAGCATCACGGCGAGAGCCATCATCTGCTCCTCGGATGGCACCGCGCGGCACTCGAAGCGGAACCCCACTCGCTGCTCGATATTGCGGATGTCGCAGATCTCGTTCTCGGCGTACAACGTAACCGTCACGCCGGGACGAACGGCCCTTTCCATGCGGTCGGAGCGGTGCACGTAACAATCTTTAAAAAAATAAAAAAACGACACAACAACAAGGGAACGGCGGAAGAGGAACGCGAGCGCCTTGAGAGCGTCATGGGAGCCTGGGGCCAGGGAGAGAGGGGAGGGGGAAAGTACGGGAAGCCTATTTACTTGAGAACCGACCTCACTCGTACTAACGGAGAGGCGGGGGTTGCTTGCGACGAAAGGAGGGTGGACGTGAGCTAAAGCCAAACAGACTGCGTGAGCAAAACATGCGTGTCTCGCCATATGCACGGGCGAAACTCAAGACATTCAAAACAACAGAACGCGACGTAGTGTAGTATTTCACCAACACGCGGGCTCTCTTCTGTGCAGAAAAAACAACCACTGGGACACTCCTACGATGCAAAGTTGTCGTGGCTTCTTACCAGCGTCGCGAGGAGGGCGGTAATGGACGACCAGGTCGATGTCTGACATGTTGATACCGCGGGCGTCCACGTCGGTAACCACCAGAACCTTAACGCCCTTGGTAAGGAAACCCTTGATGGACTGTTCGCGGTCATCTCCGGAGAGAACCTTGCGATAGAACGGGGATGAAGGGTGGGTGCCATGTCACGTAGCGTACGATTAGGTGTCCACAGTAAACCGGGTAGATGAACCTAGGGCAGTCAGTGGGCCCCGGAGATATCGTTTGCGGGACGTGCCGACAACGAAGCGATACTTTGCCATGTTTCCATGACAGCAGACAAAGCCTGTCATCGGTGAAACAGTTCTCCCGTTGCATCGCTCTACATGTACGTACCCCACGCCTGTGCGTGACGACTGAAGATAGCGTAGTGTGTTCAGCTGAGTCTGGGCACCACACCAAATCGCAGAAAAGTACCTCGAACCCAGACCCGTCTGTTACACTCTTTGGGTCCTATCCCGCGTGGAGTTGAAGGTGTGTGTGTGGAGAAATCCAAAGGACACTGACCATCCATTGCCTGTGTACCGTACCTGAGACGTGAGAGTCTTGAAAGTTCTCCCGTCGGCAAGCTCGTCGCACTCTGCCTTGGAACCGGCGATCACAACGGCGTGCGAGCCCTTCGAGTAGTAGGTGACGATGTTCTCGAGCACCCTCGAGCGCTGCCAAGCGGGTACCTCGATGAAGAGGTTCTGCACGCTGTTGGCGTTTGTGACCTCCTGTTTCACCTGCAATGGAACGACCTGCGATGAATCGATCGGATGCGAATGGAATAATGGGTTACCGCAGGGCTCATGACACTGATGATTTCGCCCAGCAGCAGTATCTGCGTCAGGTTGCACTACTACAGGGCCATGATGGCAGCCGGCCTTATGCTGAGCGAACGGACCTTTCACAAGGTGCGTGTTTGCCATGCCGTAAAACGTATAACCGTTGTCCTCCCTCTCCATGTCCAAATTCTGTAAGCTGTGCTCATTTGATCGTCTCACCCTGTTGTCCTCGGTACTGGTGCCCTCCTCCTTCTCCTCGTTCTCCTCCACCTCCCCTTCGTCCCTCTCTTCGTCCTTTTCGTCCTCCTGCTCCTTCTCCTTCTCCTCGATCTCCTCCTCCTCCTCTTCGTCCCTCTCTTCTTCCTTCTCGTCCTCCTGCTCCTGCTCCTTCTCCCCCGTCTCCTCTTCCTCCTTATCTTGCACCTCCTCGTCCACCTCCTCTGCGTCCTTCTCTTCCTCCTCCTCTTGCTCCTCCTCCTCCTCCTGATCCTTTCCGTCCTCCTCCGCTCCCTCCTCGCCGTCCTTGTCAGCACCGCTGTCGCCACCCGTATCCTCCATCAGCAGGCTACTCGTCCTCGTGGCGAGCTGAGAACGCGGTGCTCTTCCCTTGCCTGTGGCCGCAAGTTTCGTCAGCGGTATGGTAGACAACGACGTTACCACAAACTTAATCTTCCAAGGGTACCAGCACAAATCAAGTATTTCGTCTGGCATCTCCGAGCCCCTAATCGACACTGGGGTAACTAATGTGATAATTCCAAAGCCCTGCCCGGGGCACCTGAGAACAATTGTCAACATACTCGCAAATTTCCCGCAAGTTCTGTATCTACAGTAGGACACTTTCACACCCGCACCTTGCATTGAGTTCTGCTACACTATCGAAACCCTAGCCATCGTATTGTTGAATTGTTCCTTGGGTTCTGTGATTCTTCCGAAACCCCACCCGGAACTCATGAACCATGAACCACGCAAGTTACACCCTCGGAGATCTATCTCGTTATTTCCCCTCGCTCTCACCTTCGTCACAATCCTCCCCCTCCTCACTGCTGCTGCTGCCGCTGCTGGGGTTGGGGAGGAGCATGCCGAGCTCGTCCGTGCATCTCCGGCGCCTCGGTTTAGACTTTGACACAGATTTCGTGGTGCTCTTTCCTTCGACTTGGCTTGGTGAACAGACCTTCACGGGGAGATTGGGGGAAACGTTTCGGGGCGTTTATAAGCTTGTGTCTTGCCGTGTACCGTGTCCGGTAAGCTCGGGTCGGAGGGCAAGAGCGGCGACAATGGTGCCCAAGCGAGTGACCACTTGCACACATGCTGTGCCCGTCTTCTATTTGTAGTTGATTTGTGATGGCATGAAATCACGACAATTCGCTCCCCTTTTACCTTGATTGATATAATATTATTAGGACGAAAGGGAAGAAGAGCACTAGATAGAGATAGATATCAGAAAGCCATTTCCGTGAGAAGCTAAGAAGCGAGGGGAACTAGGCGGAACGCAGCCGTGTAGCAGGCGCACACAGGCTATTGATTGATCTGGTCTGCGAACGCATTTCGGCGAAATTTTCTAGTTTCGTAATCGTAAATCAAGGGTAGAGCTTCCCATCTGGCTTGTGTTCGGAGAACAAACTACTCTTGTCAAACTTGTCAGAAGCAGAGAACCAGAGGTAGTACCGAGAAAATCTTTATCTTGTGGAGTATCTATCTTCAAAGGTACAAGTTCCCTCTGAGCTCTTCATTGTCTGTCACAAAAGATTGACTGCTGTCTCGGTGGGTTGGTCCCGCTTTAACTCCATCTTCAATCACCCGTTGATGGCACCGGGCTCTCTTTGAGCCCACTCCTCCCGAGGGATCGATCACTTGCAGTACACTCAGTTCTGACGTGCAAGTTGTTCCGGCAAAGAGATTTCAGGCCACGGCCTTCCTGGCAGGGCACTCACAGGGCATCTACTGGCCGGTACGAGACATCCAATCATAGCTGCTTACGTCAACGCCCAACAGCAGTGTACTCGCTCGAATCGAATAGCGCACTCGAAACATGACAAATGATGTATTTCGCGCACTTTTTGCCTCCTGTCCTGTGCTCGAATATATAAAACAATCCAGACTCAGCAGGACACGACGTTGCATAGGATCGCGAAATAAGAGATGATAGGTGGGTCGGTGCGTAATCTCCTCACGCCATGTTGTACTAACATTTAAGGTACAAAGGTGCAAGCTGCTGTGTAAGCTTGTGCGGCGGTGCAATCCGTTGTCCGCCTCCTCTCTTCTCTCTGCGCTGCAGATGAGCTGTCTCTCTCAACATGCTTATGGACTGCTGTTCGGACTGGTTTCACCGTCTCACCGTATCCTCCTCGCTACTGATGACCTCCCGCCGAGCTCTCCGACATGCAAGCTGAATCCTCGGAGCCGAACATGGCTTCGGCCGTTTTCTCGTCGCCATGATCTTGTCTGCCTGCTGGTGCCTGCCCAGCAGCTGTCGCGTGGTCGCCAGTCAGTCCACCGTCAACAGGTGCTGAGCCCCCTGTCAGCACTATACACAATGATTCCACGGAGCCTCTCCACCTCGGACATGTATATAGACAACTCAACTTAGGTAACACACAGCACAACCCAGTTTGTTCACACACGCAACGCGTAGGAGGTGTGCCACAAGCCGACGCTATGGCCTCTAGGATGCTTGCCCGCTCGGGAGTAGCTGCTGCAAGGAGAGTGGCAGCGACACCTGCGTCGGCTGGGGCGCGACGGAGCGCATCGAACTTGAAACCTGTAGACCAGGTGAGGAAGTGGGTTCCCAAGCTTGCTTACACCCGTGCAAGTCGGATGATGCGAGGGCGTTTGCAGAGCCGTTGTGCATGATCCGTAGGAAACGAGGATGGGTTGTGCGTTCGCGATGCTGCAATACCTGTGCGTTCCAGGACAAGGTGTTTTAGGTCATGAGGGGTGCACAATGAACATATCATCCTTCTTACGTCTCGATTACAGCAGCAGTCTCCGTATCGACTTGTGTTGCAGCAGCACGAGTCAGTCCATGGTGTGTTGTGATGTTGTGATTGCTTTCGGGGCCTGTTGGAGGTTGCTAGTTTACAGCAGTAGTGCAGGTTGTTGCTGCCGCTTTCTCGTACATGTGTTGGTGTAGCCCATGCGTCGAAGAGGCGTTAGGTGCTGCCTGGCGGCGATGGGCTGCATCCGTATCGAGCAACGAGCGGGGGCGCTTACGCCACCGACTGACGGTGCGGGAACGAGTTACGCCGCGCGCCTGCTCCCTGCTCATCACCTATAATATCTGCTGTACAGCAGTGCCTTAGCACTACTGCTGGGTGGGGGGAACACCCCGCGAGCGCCGTAGGTGGAACAGGGCGGTCCCCACTCCATGGGTTTGTTGTGTACCGCCGTACGCCGCTACAGCTTGATAGTGGTACAGTAGGTGGTAGGCAAGAATATACTGTATTGCTTGCTGTAGTACGGCCGGAGCGATAGCTCCCTTGCTTGTTTCTGTTGTGCATAGCTGCCTCTACATGTGAACTGCAATCCCACGAGGCTCGCCAAGCTAGATGTACTGCAGCATTGTGACACCGCTGCCGAACGCTGCCGAACATGGCCATGTCCAATGTCCAATGTGTTTTCACGGCATGGTTCAGTGGCAGCTGCGCGTGCTGCCCTGCTGCCACCTACTGTTTTGCCCAGCAGTTACCCCCGCATTAGCCTTGTGTGTTGTTGATCGTCTGCCTGCTGACTTGCAGCACCAATGTTCTTGTGCCTTTCCTGCAAAAAGTCGAAAACCAATTCCATCCCAACATGGTCTGCTTATTGACTACTGCTGTATGCAACAATGTCTGTCATTCGCATGGCAGATGTGTCTCGTGTTCCATCATACACCACAGACAACGGCAGTCCCCCTTGTGTGATGATTACCACACACACCTCCCGTCTGTCGCGGCTCTTTGTGTCCTTATACGTCTTGTCGTTGGGACCGCCTCGTTTTGCGAGAAACTATGCTTTATGAGGAATTAGAATACGGAGGGTGTACGCAGACCGGATCCCGAACCCAAACCCCGACCAACTTCCCCGATTGCTTCTTTATCCAACTTGTTCACTTAACTTACTTGAAACATCCTGCGAAGGCTTTTGTAATGCGTTGTTGACCCTGCACCCTTGATCTTTTTTCAACGTTTTTTTTGTCTTTCGCGTGTTTTGACTCGGTCTTGACTGTATGTGTATGCACATTACTTGACGGCTTTGAGCAGAACAAGGCCTACTTCCTGAATCTGGGACCCCACTACAAGAAGGAGGGATGGGAGGGGATCATGGCGGCGACTTGGGTGGCCAGCGCGGTGATTCTTATTGCTGGAGTGGGCTACGGCCCGGAGACGGGCATTAAGGTGAACAGCAGCCGTGGTCTTGGCGTTTCTCTGCGGTACGGTAGAGGTCCTTCGGTGTACAGTAGTGGTGGTCCCGGTATAATGCCGGTACGGTATACAATACAGTAAGTGCAAGCCCCTTCACCCGGCAATTGTAGCGGGCAACCGGCAATATTCAGAGTATGGGATGAAACAACTTCAATATTACATCTGTGCCAGGCGATTTCACCGGCATTCTATAGGGCAACCGGCATTATTCAGCCGGCATTTAGCGGGACCACTAATGTAGTTGCGCTTTCGCAAGTAGTGTGTGTGTGTTTTCGTCCTATCTATCATGGTGACAGTCCCCCCAGTTTTCGGGGTGAGACGTGTACTACACTTTTCAGTGTATGTAGAGTACAACTACAACCATCCAGGGTCACGCAGGAGGGGGTAAACACCAGGGCTCTTCTCTTCTTATTATTTATTTTCGTGCCCCACCGTCCTCCTGCTCCTGCGGTGCGTCCTGAATTTTTTTGTTATCGCGAGAAGGGTCCAGTCGTTTCCCTCGTCAACGGTGCTAACGTCGAAGTTTGCTACTCTCGAGAGCTTTTTCAGCCATATTTCGCTTGCACCCGCAAATTTTGTAAATTTTTCACCCCATGGGGATTCGAACTCACGACCTTTCCGACTAGTGGTTTACGAGGATACAGTCGGGGCTCCGATATAAGAGGGTCGAAATTGGTTGTCACGGACTCGACCCGCTAGTAGGGTTACCCTCTAATACAGAGATCGGACCCTTCATAGTGGACCCCACCCCACTATAGAGAGGGTTTACCGCACTATTGGGGGCTTGTAAGTGAGGGAGTCGCCGGTGAGTGCCCCCCCCGGCCTTTCTCTCACACACAAACACACATTCCTCACAAGAAACGCCGCAGGAAGAATAGACCAGAGAGGAGCTGCCAAGGAATGGTGGTGTTTTGGTGAAACTGGTGGCAAATGCAAGGAGGATGATGCAAAGATGATGAAAGCACCCCGAAACGAACACGTGTGCAAAGTAGCAGCTTTGGCTAAACACGTGCAGTTTTCTTCTATTGCTACGGTCTCCATCTTTAATCTGGAGGATAGCTTAGCCTCCCCCATGGCGCGCCCTCATGGCGTCCCAGGTCGTGGCCTTTTGAAGCACTTTCTGTGTTCAGCCGCACTGAGACTGACGTGTTTTCATTGGTTAGCTGGGTAGCGCAGTCGATGCTAATAATGAAAGTAAATAAAAATGCACACGAACACGCACACGCCCCGGCGCCAAGGAGAAGCAGGGGGCTGTTTGTGCAAGGCTAGAATTTCGTTCCTTTCAGCATACCGTTCAAATCCTGCACCGCATACAGACGTCAGGGAGTTCTCTCCTCTTTAAATGTGGGCAATGTGTATATCGTGTGCGCCAGGGGCCAGGGGGAGGTAGACCGTTCGTTGGTGCAATACAAACTTGCTTGTAGCCTGTGTACATGAAGTTTATCATGGTCGGAGAGGTGTCGAGGAATTGTAACATGTTGTTCAACTCTGTAGGCGTTTTAAATGCATGCATGAACATGTACTTTACCTCCTAGTATCAATGGCTGCGTCAACTTGGCTGCGAGGCAATTATTCTCTGCAGATGTTCCCACTCCATGAACGAACTAATCACAAAACGGAAAGCGTTGCCGATACGATCACGATCACCCGGCTTGCTTTGGGCATGTCAACTCGGGCAATCAGCCCACCACACGTGCTTTACAGTCCACCACACATACATGCTTACACACCTACACGGCATACTGGTGTACGCTGTGCTGTAGTCAAGTGCCTGTGTTTCTCGTTAGTGTCGATCTCCCCCTTTGTAAGAGGGTACCCTACGATAGAGTGCCCCCATATAAGAGGGTACCCTTTATAGAGGTCGAGCGCCTTTGTCACAACACCCTCTTATAAACAGAGCCACGACTGTAGCACTAGACCACCGGGGCGGCCGGTACCAGCGGCCGCTTTTCTCTGTGCCCCTGGCATTCGCAGCAACAGACTGCTGTGTTTCATTGCTCTCCAGCCTTGCGTTATTGACGGTCGCACTATTCTACTGGAGTGAGCGGGGTACTCACCCACCAAACCCTGCTCTTTAGGGGGACTGGATTGAGACAACAGCAAGACATTAATCGTTTATGGGCGACAGGTAGAACATCATCACTATTGTAGTACCGTATATGACACAAGATAACACACCCCCTGGACCGATTTTCAAAGCTCGATTACTCCACGACGAAGAGGATGCATAAATGAAACAATACGTTTTCGAACAGCTCTCGACGAGACGGTTCCAACGCCGCCGTTTTCGGCGCTGTGACTCTTCCTGCTGTTGAGAAATCGAGCTTTGAAAATCGGCCAAGGGGGTGTGTTATCTTGTGTCATATACGGTATTCATGTGTCGAGGGGGGTGTGCGCCACCGGTTTCTCCGCTACAGCTGCAGTAGCTGGTATCTGAAACAGGCGTTTTCCCGTTAAGCGGGCGGTGAAGACAGCAGTAGCTATTGTGGCTTATGCGACCGTATTTCAGCATGTTGACTACGGAAGAGAGCACCACCAGCAGCGGGCTATCTCGTTCTCCACCACACGCGCGAGTAGTGAAGCGAGTCACAACCAATGATATTCATCGAACAAGTAACACTCTTTTTTAGGAAGCATGACACTCAGCAGCAACCATTGATGGTGCTCAATCAACGTGCATGACTTTTTTTAGGAAGCATGACACATGTTTTAGGAACGCCCACTGACGAATGACTGAATCGCATGCTGTCCTGTAACAGGAGTGGGCTAGAGACGAGGCGCTTGCTAGGAACGTGCGTGAGGAGCAGGGGCTGCCGGTAGAGTACGGAAAGATCTACTCCCAAGAGCCTAGGTAAGGGTGTCACCGATCTGCAATCTTCAAGTGTTCGATCTTCGAGTGTTCAAACGAACACCGGACGCCGTGGTGGTTTCTACGCCGTGGTGGTTTCTACTATTGCTGTTGCTACGTCTCTAGAGCAGAAGAATGCACTTGTTTTAAGCTTGGATATCCCTGGGTCTGACTGGTGGCCATTTTCTTTCGAGATGCCATGGTGTTGCCATGTGAGGGTCTTAAGCGTGTTGTTTTCTTGTTACTGCGGTGGTGGCCAATGCTGTCGTTGACATCATGGCCAATGCTGTCGTTGACATCATGGATGATGATGATAGTGTGGCCTGAGCATTGACCGCACCGTTCAGAATGTTCCGATAACTTCGATACGTGTGGATACTTGCCGGAGTATGCCGCGCGTCGCGCTGTTTCTCGAAACTTTGGGTCGGTGTTTAAAGCTCGATTGCTTTCACACGTACCAGGAGGGCTCTTGATGAGATTATGCTGCGAATCCCTCCCTTTTCGGCATTGCGACCTATTCTCCTTCTCTTATGGAGGAAGCGAGCTTTGAAAACAACAGGGGTCTGATATTCATCAGTGTCACCACGATAAACCTACTGCTATGCATACATACCCTGTCTTCACCCACCAACACGGTCTTTCGCCAGTTGATTTACGAGCTCACGAGAGGATGCTTGGAAGGTGGGCTTTTGAGGGGGGTGTACTAAATGCGTTTGTTGCGACGCCCACACGGAACCCGCAAGACACACGTGTGCACCGACGATCACTCTCTTGTTATGTCTACTTCATCTGTTCATCTGCGTGTGTATATGTATTGCAACGGCCCCGGTTGCCTTGCCTTGACGATCACCAGGTACACGTTTACAGCCGCCGAAGGCGATGATGAGGATGAGGACGATGAGGACGATGACGATGACGAAGATGACGAGTAATCGTGTCGTGTCGTGTCGTTCGGTCTTCGAAGTGTTGAGTAGTAGATCAATTTACCGATTTCATTTGATGAGGATTGGTCGGTCCACTCTCTTGTTGGCTATCCACTGCTGTGGGCAAAAACGTTCGTGTAGGATGTAGCCGGTTGGTGTTGATCGATGCATCGATGCAGTTATCGGTTTTCCATGCGGCCGTAAGTGTCATTGAAAAGAAAGGTTGTGCACGGCAAGATTGGGAGATTGACAGCACACCGCCAAGAGGCAAGGAGAGGTGGGATGGGGCCCCGTATTCTCATGACCGTATGGCATGGCATAGCGTAGCCATTCACTACTCTGCCAGAAACGAAATTTCCAACTTCGTGAGCGTTGCCACACGCTGCGAAGAGGGTTCCGGGACATGGACTATTGTAAGGTTGGGGGGGGCTCGGTAACTGAATGGAATCCACGGAGCCCCTCGAGATGGCTGCGGTTCCATCAGCAGGGATGACGACGGCGGCGGCAGCTGTAGCTAGTCGTTGTTGCGTTTCTTCTCCGCTCCAAAGTCGGTGGAAAAGAGTATGAGATGGTTCTCTTCGGCACACGTTACATTACATCACATCACATGGCATTGATGTCCGTCGAGAGGAAGGGAGGGGGGTGTCGCTCTGCGGCTCTTCGGACGCGGACAGCTAGGAAGGGGTCTGTAGCTGGTTGCCCCGCCACACTCCGTTCTTGAGTTTGTTTCCTACCATACAGTAGAATGCGATGGGGCTACGCTACGAGAGGGCTCTTTCTTTTGCTGCACTCGGAAGGAACATGTAGTACCCAAGGGAAAACTGAACCGGTCTTGTTCAACCTGAGAGAGCACAGAAGGGTGGGCGCTCAAACGTGCTGTCTAGGCTAGGGTGCATTTTTTATCTCTGGTACGGGGGGGGTTACAACCTACCGTATCCGCGGAAGCACTGCATTGTTTCTGTTTCCCCCCCGTGCCTCTCGGCTGCTGCTGCGTGGAAGAACCCGAACCCGATGTCCGTTGGCTTGATGCCCGCCGCCCCTAATGCAGGCGGACCTGCTGGACCAGCATGTGTTTTCCGCCTATTATAGTCAAGAGATACGGTACTCCCACCAAGAATACCCACAAGGACGTATGGTTGGGCCTTCGTCCGAGATTTTATGCATGTGCCAGGGGGTCGGCGACGGGCAAGCTTGAGCTTGCCAAGTTCGACAAAGACTCTTGGAGCCCCGGCGGAGTTTCGGTACAAACCACCCCCCCTGCCTCTCTTGAAGCGATCGGCCGTATTGATGTATGGATGCCTTGTTCTTCCTGCAGTGCAGGGTTGCACGTTGTTCTTGTTGTTGTCTTCACATTCAAAAACAGTACCTTTCAAAATCCGTACCGGTACACACTATGCGGACGTTTTCCGTGCCAAAGCGGGCTAACTACCCGAAAAGGGAACACAATTCTTGTATGGCGCGTCCAGAGATGGTCGAAAATAAGCCGTAACAACTAACGGCCAAAATCACTGCATGGCAAACAGACGGTCCGATGCTAACAAACCACCGTCTGCTGATGGGCACCCTCAGACTGCATCCAGCAAGGACCCTGGTCCTTTTCACTCGCTTGGGGAGGGGATTCAGAGTAAAGCTCTGAATCCCGATACCAAATTCCAAGCAAGTCTCGCTCGACACATTCCATCCGTCCTCACTCCGCCACCTGCTCTACGGCTTCTACGTGATTCGCGAACTCCTCCGCTGCAGCAGCCGGCAAATAGATACCTTTCGTCAGCGTTAACGGTATACAAACAGCCCCCGTCCAATTTGCTTGCGGCAAGCATACCTTTCGATGGCCGCAAGAGCTATACACATAGAGGTTGACGCAACCAGTGCACCATGGCTACATAGTCAGAGTCAAGTGTCGGGGGGAAACTCTTGGCAAGTACACGCAAGAGTGCCTTCTACCCGTTCCTTAATTCTTGATTCGGCATCCTACGAGTGACGTCATGTTGCCGCGGCCGCCTCGCCGCCTCCTTCCGCTGCCGCCGCCCCCGCTCCTTCTCCGCCCGCCGCCCCCCCTCCCATGCCCCAGTTGATGTAGTTCGGACTCTCGCAAGCCTTGTACTCTTCGATCAGGCTTGCCACCACCTCCCTGATTGCCGGCAAAAGCGTCGAAATGGAGGGGGGGGGAATCGAACAATACATGTTTTCAGCGTCTTGGATTTCTCCGCGGTATTATCGTTTGGCGCATCGTGTGTGTTGCTCAGTACCCCGGAGCGAACTTCTCTCTGTCTCGTGCTCCGCTCTATTGAACCCGCCAGTAGACCAGGTTCAGAATGTTCGTCCCTGCGATTCTCTCTGTGCCTCACCCTCTTCACTACCAGTATCGTGTGTATCGTGTGACAGGAGTGTACGTCGTCCCACGCATTGTTAACTTTGTTAACACCTTTCTCCTTTCTTTGGGTAGGGCGTCTCCCCATCGCACGAAAATCACATGGTGGTCTAGGCTTGAGGTTGTTCAAACGAGTTGCCGCAGAAGCAGAGCAAACGCTAAAGATGACCGTGGATGTGGCGGTAGTGGCGAGGTTTAGCAAAGTGGTTTAAGTTTAGCGATGTGTGATAGCCTCGCGTGGGGATCCCATAAAACTTGGGAGTGCGAGTGCAAGTCAGTCGTATACATGGGTGCTTGAGACTCGTCATGATTGTCGGCAAGCATACGCTCCTCTCGAAATGCACCACGTCACCAAGCGTAGCGCTCAGGCGCCACAGACAACAACTACGAGCGCAACATCGTAAACAGAAAACCACAGCAACGGCAACGAGGACAACAACCGCAACAACAGCAACAAAAAAAACACCAGCAACAACCACAACAGCAGCACCATTTCACCTGGAGTCTTCGAATTCGTCAAGGTTGTCGGCAAACATGGGCTCCTTCCTGTAGTTGTCGACGAAAGCGTTTCTCTTTCGGATGCGGTCGAACTGTTGCAGGCTCCTCGTGAACAGCTGCGAGCGCAGAGTTTTGTTGAGTACACCAAGGAAGAAACGGGTTTGAAGCTGGTCAGTTAACTGAGGTCACATGCAATAGTCACATGCAATAGTCACATGCAATAGTCACATGCAATACTCTTCGGATGGAGCTGAGGTTACGGGTGTGTTCGTTGCGTGCGACACACAGAGGTAGAATGATTTTGTCCAAGCCGGGGCATTTTCGGGTCAAGATGCAGAGCTGAAGGTAGAGGCAAGTTTAGTCGGAGTGCAGATGACAGGATATCGTGTGGGATGGTAGGATTTCCTTGCATCCAAAGACAAAGACAGCAGCCCGAATGACTCGATCCGCTATACGACAATAGCTTCTTATTCCGGTATATTGCGGTATTCCGGTATAATACCGGAATATTCCGGTATTTCCGGTATTAGAGGGGGCTCCAATATAAGAGGGTCGAGGGCCTTTGTCACACCACCCTTTTATCTCATGCTATATCCGAGCCACGACTGTAGTGATGAATTGTCAATTGTCAATTGCCGATAACGCTTGTATCAACAGCTGTGCGATCGAACACTATTCCTGTCATACGTATTGCAGTTTGGTTTGTGTGGCGTGTTGGCTTCGACGAACTCCGTGACAAACAGACTCATACATCGGAGCCCCCCTCTTACAAGGTACCATGTGTTACCAGAAAGCCCAACAACAGCATCAACAACAGCACGTATAACAACACCAACGGCGAGCAAGACAAGTTCCCTCTTACCTGGCTCATGCAGGTGTGGTTCGCCAGCATCAGCCCGCTAACCTTGTGCGCTGTCTCCACGTACGGTGATTTTCTCGACAAAGCCACCTGTAACAATCACAATCAGATGCCGCAAAAGCACAAACATCATTCGTGGGTGCCGAGAGAGCACGCCGTGCAAACTAATTCTTGCCACCAGAACGTGTGTGAACCCACGAATGCATTACTTGGTAAAAATCACTTGGATAAGGGCATGCAAAAGGCACACCGTTTATCTCCTCTTGTGTTTCGCCGAGGTACGTCACCATGACAACCGCTTTCTAACAACACCAACACCTATGCGTCAGGGATGAGGGATGGCCACTCCCGCCACACGAAGAGGGTCGACTTCGACTGGCCTGCTCCACCAACGCAAAACGAGTGTCGCTACTGGGGCGGCAGTGATTCAGAGCACCCAATAAAAGTTGCACAATAGCCCCCTGCCCGACAAGTAGGCGCCACATGTCGGTCTGGCCAACAAAAAACACAAACACCAAAAACACAAAGAGGGCTTCCTTACCTGAATACTTGCTGGCCCCCATGGGATGAAGCTAACCAGTTTTCGCTCCCTTATCCTCTGCAGAGCCTTGTGGACCTGGGGTAGGGATTGTATACGACAGAGGTTGAAGATATCGGCGGCGCCTTTTCCAGCCCGCTGTTGAATGGGTAACATGGTATGAAGCGGCTTGCCACGACGCGGCACGTTGGCTACAGAAAGCGTGAGCCATGGGATAGGATGGGAAAACTACGGCAATTGCAACGTGACAGAATCCAGTCCTGATGGTGTGTGCGGGAAAAAAGAGGTCCGCGCTGCTGGCATTGTGGCATCGTGCAGCGAGGCCTGATGCTGCCTTGCAGGAATACACCACTATTGTCAAGTATTATGTTCATGGTGGTACTACTCTTTATCACAGTCACACAGCACGACAAAGACATTCTTGCCAAGTATCCTGTGCTTCCGCGGGTGTTTCAAAGATGAGGCACGAGACACGAGACATGAGACATGAGACATGAGACATATCGGACGAAAACGCCGCGAAACACAACGCCCCACACAGCAACAGAAGGGCAGACACCACAAGCAGAAAAACAGGCAGACGTCAAAGGTGAAAGCGCGCCACTATTGTAGGATACACTTGGAAGACCCAAAGTGACCCCACCTGCCGACGAGTGTACAGTACAGAAAATGCGAAGAAAAAAAAGGTAGGTACAGCAGTAACACACAAAAACGTGTGATACATTTGGAAGATTCAGAGCGACTCGAGCTAACCAGAGTAGAAAATACAGCGCGAAGAAATAGAAACAGAAATCGATTCGCGGTACAATTACCTGTGTGGGATCGACCTCTCCCTGGATAATGTTGAGGATGGAGACGTAGCAGCCCTTCTTGGTGCTGGCGGACACCATGATGTTCTTGGTCTGGGTCAGTCTTCGCATCACGTCCAGAACGGTCGTTCTTCGCACGGCACTCGTCTGCAAAATGGACGATGGACGATGGGCGATCGATGCAATCATAATCATTCCACGGCGGCAAAACCAGGTTAACCATTTGGAGGAATCTCTTGCCCATGGCTCACGCCACGGGACGAGTATTCAGCAGTGGAAATGGACAAAACGGTGTCCTTACCCTCGTGGCAAGCCCTTCAAGACGGAGGGACGCTCTGTGGCATGGGTGTGCGTGTGAGCGTACATACTCATCCCGTCTTTTCTTTTCCTTCTATCGATCTATACACCTACCGGTATTTCTTGGTTGCGCACCAGCCGCCGATACACCACACGGGAGGAAGGACACAGAAAAGAAAAGAACATCGTTGTCACCGTACGTGCCCTTCGTATTATACCCAATGCTTTGTCTCATACCATACCTTGCCATACCATGACATGACATGACATGAACAAAAAAGGTGCACCCGATTGGTGTTCTCGTGAACAAACGCGACAACACACAGACATACACCAGCGTACGTTTCCCGGGCAACATCAACATCCCACATCCCACATCCCACGGAAAAAGCGTCGTCACACCTGAGTGTCGCTGATGACCAGAGGGGTGTAGCCGGTCATGAGGAAGTGGCACCTAGGGGTGGGGATGAGAGACGCCACCAGACCTATCAGGTCGTTGTTCATGTACCCGGGGTACCGCAGGGTGGTCGTCGAGGCAGCCATGACGGTGCTGACGATGGAGTTGAGTTGCCCCACGGTGGGGTTGGGGATGCGGAGGCGATCCACCTGGTTAACCAGGGTGCATCATGGGAGAGAGACGAGGGTGCAGACAACCGGAGAGCGAGGGAAGGAATGTGCAGCTGTGTCTGTTTTCGTGCTTGGTGTTGGTAAAGGTTTCAATTCAGTGTAAAAATAATATACACCAACCACGCTCCCATAATATGCTCGATTTCGACCTGCTAACGGCAAGCCGAACAAACCCAGGAGGGTGCCAATGGCGATGCGCCATGTGTAGCAAAGTAGCACATGGACCCGAGTCGTTGTTGTGATCCTTGCCGCTATCCTGTTGAGAGAGTCATTGTTGTGATCCTTACCGCTATCCTATTGAGAGCCGTGTTGTCCAGCACCACCACAGCATCCGCGTTGAGAGTCAGCCGCTTCAAGGTAAGGATGGAGTTGTACGGCTGCACCACGACATCGCTTTGGCTCTGCGGTCGGACACAAGAAAGGAAGGAGGAGGCAAGGTACGATTGCGTGTTGCCAGCGTCGTCAGTGATGAAGGGATCAAAATGTAGTTGAGTATTGCGACACGCCACCAGTTATGCAATAAAAGGGGGCTGTGCATTCAACCGTAACCCAGGTCACAGACGGGCCAAAAAAGGAACCCGTAGGAACAATACGGGAAAAAACTCAATTTTGTAACCGTAAAAAAATAACCACAATCGTTGTTTGTTGCCATGTTATGTCTGGTACAATAAGGTACACACCTGTGTGGCGTTCGGGAAGACGGAGTAGGTCTGTATCAACTTCTTGGGGAAGTGGTCGTTCAGCCTTTCCAACAGGTATGAACCCATCCCCGATCCAGTCCCTCCGGCGATCGAGTGCGAAAGGACGAACCCCTGCAACACGATGGCGGCATTGGGGATAGAGGTGGGGTTGGTAATGGTGATGAAGAACAAAGTTGGGATAGCAATAGGATTGGGATAGCGATAGGATTGGGCATAGTGGCCGCGAACGAGTGCAGCGTTGGGAGTAGGGGCAAGGGAGTGGTGATTGAATGCGTCAACACAGTCCTCTCCTTGCACGTCGTCGAACAATGCATGGACACGTTCCTTTCGGGACCAGCATACTTCATCGTCGACCAACGAAGTCCGGGTGAGGTCATGGTCAGCAACAACAATCTGACAAGAAGAGTCGTTGACGAGCAACAACAATCTCAAACAAGGGTCATTGACGAGCAGCGACGAGGAGGGGTACACTGCGGTAGCATGAGCATTCGTTCGCAAGACAAAGCAACAGAAATAGCAATAGCGATAGCAACAGCAACAGAAATAGCCTGGTGCACGCCGGTTTAAGCATCGCAAACCTAACGACAGCAGATCCTCCGCATCGTTGATAAAGTGATCGCGTTACGTCCCCACTTCGCGCTGCTTGAGCGTGGGGTGTTTGCTGATTGGGGAGGTACTTCCATGCTAAGTCTCCTTTCGAGTAACGCTGGTTGGTGTGTTCGTGTGTTGGTGCTTTCGAGAGAGATTGTATGGTGCTATTGAGAGAGAAGATACGGTGTTTTTGAGAGAGAAGACACGACCATCCGCCGACTTTGATCAAGAGAAGCGCCAAGCACAGCCGCACTTCAGCCGACATGAGAGCATTGCCAGATGGAACAACGCACTATTAACAATAGAGTATAATAGTTGATTAAGCCTCACGTCATTATCATCTTCACCATGCGATCGATCGAAGGAAGCACTACACCAGTCGTCCCCGCTGAAGAACACTCGTGGACTTTCGTCAAAAAACGTGCCCTGATATTGCGGAGAAGTGTCCCGAATCACACACCATACCCCGCTATATTTACATTCCGCCCCCAACCATGCTGCTAAAAATAAAATACCATGGATATGTCGTTACATGCAAAGGAACGACCGTACTGCTGTACCTCCAAGCTGTCGCTCCCGTCCGCTTCTCTATCGATCATGTCCATCAGGTAATCGTGCTGCTCCTCAGCCTGCCGGTAGCCGCTGGCCCAGTTGTTCCCCGCACCGCCACCCTCCTGAAAAATGAGACACGGTAGGGGCTTACCGCGTCACTAGGCCATATCAATATCATTACAGGATTGATCCTGTGCCTGCCGTTTGGTATCTGCCACTCAGTGCTGTTTACAGCAACAACGCACAATGTCAACTCCCCGCTCTAAGGACGAAAACAATCTCAGAAGCAGGGTGCCCCGCAGACATTCAATACTCAGGTACGATCTTCAAAGATGATTCCCCACGTAAAAGGCATTTTGAAAAAAAAACATGTGCGCCTTTAAGGCGGAGAGGACTGTACAGTCTCAAAAGCAACACGTTCCCCCGACGCTCCACGCAATCATGTACACAAGGACATGACTCCCTTCCATCCCATTCCATTCGACGATTCCATAAAACGTCGGAGATGTCGTACATGTTGTGGACGTACTGCTGCTGTACCTTGCTGACGAAGACGTTCTCCGGGTTGAAGAGATCCCGGTACCCTTCGCTCTGGATCATGTTGATCACACGGGGCTCCAGGTCCAGCAGCAACGCTCGAGGGATGTAGTGGTCATCGTCCGCTTGGTAGAAGAAGACATCCTTTCGGTCGTCACCCTGACCAACGACGCCAAGCGTGGGGAAGATCATGGCGCCCCGTACAACGACGCATGTAGTCACACGGGCCGGTGGGGCGGTGGGAGGGGGGGGGGGGGTGTACTCATAGTCGTGCATGCCGTAGTCGTTTGACCATTGACCTCGCATCCCTACAAAGCCGGGACGGAGCACGCCGGGTTCTCACCGGACCAGGCTCTCACATCACCAAGCGCGAAGCGCCGTGAGGTATTTGGCGAGTCGCATGAAGGGTGAGCTGCATCCTGCTAAGGGTGTTCGGCATCTTGTGCTTACTTCCTTGCGTACGGATGACAGCTACGTATGACTTAATTTATTTTCTGGTGCTTTCACTTCCAGAGACAGTTGTAAGCACTGTGTAACTGCCTCGAGGATGCTTGACCATTTCAACACAACATGGTGCGATCATCCCCCGTTGCGCGGAGTGAGGTTTCTCGACCCCGCACAACATGATCTACTCGACCACCATTATGGTTACCGCCAAAAAAAAAAACGAGGTAAAAAAAAAAAAACGGTAACCTGGTTGCCGAGTTCACGAAGTGACTTGGCTTGTTTTACAACGTCGTTGCCAAGCGACGAAAACCCAATCCCGATGGCAAACACCGAGTGGGGGGCTTGTTTTACAACGTCGTTGCCAAGCGACGAAAACCCAAACCCCGATGGCAAACACCGGGCGGGGGGTGGGGGGGTGTTCTATATCGTGCTCATCGCATCGACAGCGTTGAGAGCAGGGCAATGACGTCAAGGCCCCATTGACTACTTCGACGGCTTCAACAGACGGCTCCAACAGGCTATTGGTGTAGCCTTTTCAGCACGGGTTGCACTCCTTGGTCGATTGATGGATTGAATGATTGATTGATTGATTGATTGATTGATTGAAACTATTAAGACGCATCTTTCGGCTTGGTCCGCATGTTCCATCCTACGCATACATACTATTCGTCCCATTTCTCAAAAAGACGAGAGGAAAAAATCCCGGCCTTTCGAACTTCTTGGGGACGAGACGAGGCGAGGCGAGACGAGGAGAAGTATTCAGAGGACAGACACCAACAACCAAGAGCAGCGGCCATCGACGAGTGATAAGAGATGCCACGTATCGTACATACTCTACTAACTCACGTGCGAAGCAAACTCCTGGAGGGTGCCGTCTGGGCTGATGCCATGCTCGGCGCACAGCTGCTTCCAAAACTCGCTCCCGACTGCGTACATCACGCAAAAAAGCGCATCAAACAAAAAAACGTGACGTAAGGAAGGGCGCGGGTCGAAGAGAAGGAGCGAGAGATTGGCGAAAGGTACCCTTACCTCCCGCCGCGCCTTGGCCTCTCTGCGCCCAAGAATTGTTGGCAATATCAGTACACAAGCTGGTATAGCCTGGAAGTATCATAGGTGGAGGGTGCCGCAAGACAACCGTCGTTACCAGGACTGCGGGGTATCTTATGGTCTACCATGGTCTACCATGGTATATCCGTGTACTCCACGAGGAAGACGAGATGTGTGCGTTGTGTGGAGTATGGGATGTTTGTGGTATGGAACAAGTGTATCATGCACAGCAGGCATGCATACACACAAGAGAGCGGGGTGAACATCATTAAAATCGACGGCGGTCTTATCCGTGGTGCTACAAGCAGGTAGCCCTCGTCACAGTAAACCAAGTTGCATCTACTGTTTGTATTCGGCTCCCGAACATCAGCTGCTGACATAATCTGTGCGATTTTCTCTGGGGCTCTGTCTGCTGTAGAAACAGCAGAGGGGGTATGTTCCTCCTTGCTGTCATCGTCGAATGACATGGTCGATAGGCATGGGTATGTGTTATTGTCGTTGTCGTCGTCGCTGCTGTTGGTGTTGCTGATACCGGCGTTGGCGTGGGTTTTGCTGCTGCTTCCACACTAAAACACCGTTCCGACCTCTGCTCTACTACTGTAATATTATTTTCCTTCGAGCTGAAGAGGATGCCTTCGGCAATGACAGGCTAACATCTAGTTATCCAAAGAGGAACAAATTGATCGCGTGTTCTTTCAAATCTGCTCCATACAATGCAAGCGCAAAGCGTCCTAGATGCTATGCAGACACGCGCATAATGTAGATACCACTGCTCAGGTGCGAAGGTCTTCGCTGCCTGGTTTTGAATTTTTTGAAAGCTGAAATTTGAATTCCGATCTATGCGAGAGAACTTGAACGTGGAGGGAATTTCCAAGCAGCAGCCAACATGCAGCGATGTATGGTAAACACTTTATGCAAATCTAAGCTACGGGTCGATTCTCACTTTGGTTGCCGCACTGCCCAACCTGCAGGGTGATGATCTCGCGCGGCATGATGCGAATGGATGCACCACAGCAGCAACAGGACCGAGGGGTATGTGGGTCTGCTGTTTTCCAACCAATTCCCGCCCAGCGACCGATCTCTCTTCTGGCCTTGACCTGGGAGGGAACGAACAATACTTCGGAAGTTACGCGTAGACCCACAAATCCACGCGCGAGCAAGCTTTTGTAGACGAGGAATAGCAGGCAGGCAGCAGGAGGCAAAGACAAGACATGAGCGATGAGGTGCAGCATCAGCATGGGAGAGCTGCGCTCTGCGACGCCCCTCGCCAAAAGGAGATCCGCGGAATCATTACCCACCATTTTTTGGCTTTTTGGGAGGAGAGAAGAGACCCTATTTGCAGGGCGCGAATATTTGCAATCCATGGATTATAAAAGAGAACCACAGTCCAAACATCCGGACGGATCGAAACCCCGGGAAACCGCCCGGAGTGTCCCCGAAGAGGTTCTCCTCTCTCCCTCTCAAATTCAATATTATCTCGGAGCCTGGATCTAACGCCCGTTGTCTTCGGAAGCAGAGCTCTCGTCTGCAGCAACAGCCTCAACAGTCCATACTGCCATACTGGCACATATTTCACGCCAAGGCCACCCTTCGCACCCGGGATGCCCAGGAGACGCTAGGCCTCAGAGGAACAGGAGGACACGACGACACACAACGCCCCGTACTTAGAGGAGTGCTCGTCTCTCTCTGTGTGTGTGTCTATCCGCGTGTGGTGCTGCTGTTGTTGTGCGTTTCTGCTGCTGCAAGCAATTGTTGCTGTAGATTTTGTGAACTACATACAGCAGTATTCTTTTTTTGGTAGATATAACCTGCTGCACGGTGCTGCCGTGATGGATGTCAGTCATCATGGGGCCGTCAAAATCTGTAGGCATCGTTTAGTTCGCACACCGCAGGCCCGCTCAACAAACTCGAGACGCGGCTCACACGGTTTTCTTCGCAGAGCACACAGGTCGACAAGCACAGATAGACGCAGAAAAAAACAAAACAGAACAATCAATATCCAACAGCGATTTGATGATAGACTGACCCCCACCAAAAAAAGAAAGGACCTGGATATGACCCCAACACGGCAAAAAAGGGGGCGGAAGAAAGAAAAGAAAAGGAAATGGAACAAAAGAAATAAAAACAGGACAGGAACCAGATGGCCCCATCGAACGCTACACCGCAACAACCAAATAGACATACAAACACAAAATCGACAACATCACAGACGGCGATCGGCGCAAAAACGCCGAAGCGAAAAATAAACAACACACCGAGCCTTGACCTGCCGCCGGGGGGGGACAAAACATCGTTCAGGCATATGCCCCGGTGACGTCGTAAACCTAGGGCCGCGTACCGCTACTCACGTACCCCAAAGTATGCAACACCGAAACTAGAGTTGGGACCCCGAAGTCGCGGCTCTCTTGCTACCCCCTCTTGTGTATCTTTCTGCAGCGCCAGGTCGTCTTTTATTACTTGTCCTAGCGGGCAGGCGAACAGTTCCAGGGTTGGCCATGAAGAGAGCCGCCCCCCGCCCTCCCGTCGTTGTAGTTCCTACCCCGCCTGCTTGCACATTGACCATCGTCAGAAATTGGTCCACGAGGGCTACGGCGACTGTCGGTGAAAAGCGATCAGACAAAATACTCGCGGCTTGCCCGAGCTTCTTCGTTACGTCGGCGTACAACACTTGTCTATCCTGGTCCGTGGGCCCCTTCTCCTTCAAGTCCAACAGGACCGTCTGCACCGTCTGGCTGCTCCCAACGAAAGACTTCCACCTCCCGCTGCATCCCCCCACCCCCTCTCCCTCTCCCTCTCCCGCCGCCCCGTCCACTTCTCTCGCAGCGTGGCGGTTGGATACCACCCACCGAGGGCGGGCGACATCCGGCCAGTCCTGCTGCGGTGTTCCCCTCGCCTTTTCCGTCAGCCAGTGCTCGTGCAGGAGGCCTACGTGGAATCTGAATCGGGGGCTGTACATCATCGCCGCCCACACATGGCGACAAAATAGCCTGAGAGTTTGGAGTGTGCGGCACTGGCAGAGATGGCTACCGTCGGAAAAGAGCAAGACGAGGTAGTCGAAGGCCTTGTCATCACGCTGCTCGTGAATCCCGAAGACGTAAATGGCGTCGCAAAGCTTGTCCTCGATGTACTCGAACGTGCGCCCCGAAGCTGCCGCGCGTTCTGGTCCATCCACCTCCCCACCACCCATCTGGCAAAACGTGATGGCCGCGGTCATCTCTTGCTCCATGAACCGCCGCGGCCAGCCCGCGATGGAGAACTCGCAGGACTCGAGCACACTCTTGAAAGCGGTCGCTGGTGGAGCCGCCATCCGATTAGGCGGCAGATGGTCGATTGCGTCACGCAGCATGGCGGCATCCTTCTGGGAACAGATGATGCCCGAAAAGTACTTCGCCACGTCCAAAAGCGAGGAGCGCGAGTTGCACCTATCCCTGATGAGGGCGTTTTGGCCTGTTGTGTGTGCGGCGGACAAACACGCAAGAAGCGACACACAAACCAAACCGTAGGTTAGTGATTGGTGTCATCAGACATCGTTGAAGTCGCAGTACGCCAAACGACTGAAAGAGAAGCCTATGACTTGACGCACCCATCGCCACAGATGTATGTACACATGAGCCGGACGATCGCAGTGCACCGACCAAGTACATTAATCCCGAACAACAGGGGCCGGACAACAGCCACATGTTTCGAAGAGGTCGTAAACATTAGCGTCATGTAGGGAGTTGTTTACTGGTCATCCACTGACGGCGTACGATAAATTCGTCCAGAAGCACTCACCAATGGCATAGTAAATAGGGGGCAAGGAAGATAGCCGCCCCCAACCCCTACAGACGTAGAAAAACTCCCAAAAACAACGACAACGCTATATGCGCTGTCGTTCTCGAACAAAACGCTCATGATGGCAGATGACGCATACACGCACCTTCAACTCTTGATGTCGTCCACGAACCCACGGAGAACACCAGGGGCGACACATATTCCGCCCACCGTGCACGGTCGTCATATACTACTTGCATGTACTTCTCCGCCTTCGGGTACTTTTCGATGAGGGCGTTGAACTTCCGTTCGAACTTCGCCAATGACAGCTGCTGACGCACACACCTGAACTCGTCCATGAAAGGCTGCGGAAAACACAAACGACGTGGGCCCGGGTGGGTGTTGCGTGAGTTGGGGCCTTTGCGATATGGGCTACCGGTCTGTACGATTGACTGCCACCAACAACCCCGTACACTTCGTTAGCGCTAAGGCGAGACGAGGAGAGGGTTGAAAAAACTCAGCGACATACCATTGGTGCTTACAACCTGCTGCTGCTGCTGCTGCTTTTTCTGTGTGCACTGGACGTCGTGAGGTATGTTTCCGTCGAAGCCGAGGTCGTCTCCGCATCACGGTCTACGCAGAGACGCTGGATATCACTCTTCCAAGTAGGCGACACTGATCCATGACAACGCACCAACTCGCACAGGGGATACAAGCGGGAGTGGGGGAGGGGGGCTAGAGTGGGCAGCGTACGTCGCGCGACCAGGACAATACGAGAGGCCAGACTAACCACGCCAACACACACAGTAGAGCGCACCTTCATGTACCCACCAAGGACTTTAGCGAGGGCCTTGATAACGTTCTGGTTGAGGTGCCATAAATTGCGCCTCGCTCAGCGCGTCCGGGAACACCTCTCGCACCGCCGCCGTCATCGCCGCGTCCGCGTCCTGGATGAAGGTATCCGGCTGCTTCCCGCGAGACTCCAACGCACTCTTCAACATCCACAGGAAAGTGTCCGTTGTGGTGTCGGCCGTTATGCTTTGGCCGACGATCCGCGTCCGATACTCCGAATCGACGACAGCGAGCACACCGAGAGGCATACGGTATCTGTTCTTGACAGCGGTGTCGTCGTAGAGCGCAACGTGACCGTACCGATTCCAAAGCGCCACCTGCGTATTCGGAGCATGACGTCGAAGGGGATCGAGAGCACTTAATTGTGGGTGTGACGTGTGTTGGACGCGTCACAACGCACCCCCACCCTTGCCTACGGCGTGCTTTCGGTCAGACGTCCTACATTTGCGGACGGCGAAGCGGTACGTGCGAGATGCTAAAATGAAAGCAAACCTTCCGGCTGGGGAATATTCGTATGGGGCACAACGACCGGCGACCTACCTGCTCTCTCGTTTGCCACCAGATGTGCGTCAGGCGGCCGCTGTCATCCATCTTGATCTCGCACACTCCGCCGTCGGCCGTCGCGGCCATGACCTGAAATTGCAACATGTTAAGCGCCCGGAAACATCGAGGGCATCAGCGCAAAACCACGACGACGGCACGGCACACATTTTTTACCTCCAACATTTCTTGGTTTGGTGTCATGGGGCATATATTCTCCCGGTTGTCACCTGCGATCGTATGTGTCTTGTCGCCCGGATACCGCCTTGAGCAAAACCCAACATCCCACACACAAACAAGAGAGGCAACAGTCTCAACGGACACATGGACACACCTCTTCGTACGCATCGGCAGCATCTCTCGGCTTCTCCGCCCCGTGCACAATGGCAGCTGCGTTCTGCACCGCGCGCTTGTTGATGTCGATGTCGCTGTCCTCGTGCAACGCCTTCATTGCTTTCGTCACCTCTTTTGGCTTCATCCCATGACCTGCGCCGTATGGGAGAGCCGGGAGCACAAAAATAAGTGGCGTGTCACAGACAAACAGGGTAACAATGTGGAGGCGACAGCAGTACCACGCTTCAAGGGCCGTTCGTCATGCGGCATCATGACTACCAACCATGACAAACCGTGGGATACGACGGGAGCCACTGTAGACCTACTCCAACGAGTTCAATCTTCCTTGCCCCATATTTGATTCACAAGACAAGACAAATGAAACGTTTCGCCGTCCACCGCTGAGTACACGAAAACAGCGAACCGAACGTGCACGCGTTGAAAGGCACGAGGTGCAGCACAGCAGGGACAATCAATTGGCGTGCTACACCCACGGAAACAATGGCAGGGCCTCTACAGGGAGCCTTGATGTGGACCGGGGGAATGCCAGATACCGGTGCTCTTTTCATGGGGCCAAGGGGAACAGCAGCAGCAACATCAAGTAAAGCACACAAAAAAACATTGTGGGTGTCACGCCGAACGGCACGTGTCAAGCACCAACCCGTCTCGCCTGCGTTTCCGGCGGGGGGCTGGTGGTCAATGTCTGCTGCTGTTGTTGCTGTACGGGGTGGGCTTGTACAGGGTAGCCCGCAAAACCTCCGGCGGCCCCAGCATCGGGAGCACCCACAGGGGCCGGAGTTCCCAACGGCAGACCAGTGCGAGGTGAAAGCATGGCCTGCAACCGCACGCGAAACCCACCACGCGGCGGAATGGATAGGACACCATGTCAACGTTTGATCACAAGACAAGACAAATGAAACGTTTCGCCGTCCACCGCTGAGTACACGAAAACAGCGAACCGTACGTGCACGCGTTGAAAGGCACGAGGTACAGCACAGCAGCGACAATCCACTGGCGTGCTACACCCACGGAACAAACATTGCCGGTGTCACGTCGAACCGCACTTGTCAAACATCAACCCGTCTCGCCTGCGTTTCCGGCGGAGGGCTGGTGGTCAATATCTGCTGCTGTTGTTGCTGTACGGGGTGGGCTTGTACAGGGTAGCCCGCAAAGGCTCCCGCAGCGCCAGCATGACGAGCACCGTAAGAGGCCGACAGAGCAGCACTGGATGGAAGCATTCCTAGCAATGACACTACCGCACGGCAGGCCACGGGTCCCACGACGCGAACATGGAGGGTAGACACATGAAGTTAAGGGGTTGGGCAAGTGCGTGCACAATGCCTGCACCTCTACCAGCCCAGCACTGCTGTAGCACCACCATACAGCCGAGCAGCCAGAAGAAAAGACTCCGGACTATACGGCAAGGACAACAGGCAGGGCCTGGCCTGGCCTGACCACACCAGTGCAGGCACATGATCACCAACGTACGTACGACGGCAACAACAGGTACAGAGCAGCATCGACACGTGGGACAGCATGAGGGAGGCTGCAACACAGGAGACAGACCAACACACACATGGCGCTGGTGCGGGTGCGGCCGTTGCTATTTTATTTCCAAAAAAAACATCACAGAGAGGGTGAGGGTGAGGCACAGACACAGAGGATGCACGGACGCCTGTCGGGACGGGATCTCACCAGTTATCGTTGTGTGTTGTCTCCTCGTCTTCCCCCAGCGTGCGGGTGCGTGTCGCCGCCTTCAGACGGCTCTCCGCCGCCGTGATTATCGCTGCTTTTATAGGAGAGGGAGAAGAACCTCTTCGGGGACACTCCGGGCGGTTTCCCGGGGTTTCGATCCGTCTGGATGTTTGGACTGTGGTTCTCTTCTATAATCCATGGATTGCAAATATTCGCGCCCCTATTTGCAGGATGGTCCTGCAACCTGCAACGAAGTCTGCAGGATGGAAAACGCCTCCAGAACCATCCCACCACAATAACAGAACCAAACACGGAACCACGCACCAAACGACCGCTCTTTTTTCACCACGAAGACACACAGAGCACACAGCACCTCCTTGCGCGGCACACGAAGCACACAGCGCCCACACCGGGCAGACCACACATAGACCACAGCAGACATGTCCCTCATGGATATTATCGGGGGAAGGCTGCCCTTGGGTGGAGATGACGACATGCTTTCGGACAGCAGCAGCGTCATTGAAATCGAGAGCGGCCGCGACGAGTCAACGAAACACAAGCAGCAGGAGGCCAGAGCAGGAGCAGGAGCAGCAGGAGATTCAGGATTAGCTCCAGAGCAAATGGTGAGGGATTCCTAAAGAAGAATGCAGGTCAACGGTGTCTGCGTTCTGCCTGTTAGCGACCCTATAAGTGGAAGACCCCGACCGCCCGAAACACTCCCTAGCCTTGTTATTTTCTTTTCTTTCCCCTCTGTCTCCCCTTGTTCTATTATACTGCTGTAACGTCAAAGTCAAACGCAGGACGTGAAGAGCAACGAAGAGAAGTTCCGAGAGAAGCACGAGCAGCAGGAAGCGATATCTCAACAGCAAATGTTCCGGGAGATGCCCAGGGAGGGGATGTGGTGAGGATTAACACAAGCAGAAAAAAAATAGTCTAGTTGGTCATAGTCTCCATGCATGTGCACTTCTGTACACGCACATATGCACTGCTGTACACGCGCGTACACGCGGTGACGATTGACACGCGGTGACGATTAACAAAGCAGATCGAGAACCGGTAAGCTGTAGGTAGTTATTCTTGAAGTCCGAAGAGTTCACGCACACGCATTCAACGAGCCTCGTTCCACCTGCTGTGTATTCATTTATTGCTGTGTGCTTCGTCTGTTTGTCTCTCTGTCTCTTTCTCCTTTTCTCTCTCCTGATGTCAGCAGATAGGTGAAGGGGGAGGAAGGTCAACGCTTGCGGAGAGAGGATCGGGGAGCGCCGAACATTCGGGAAGCGTGGAGAAAGGAGCAGCACCGAGTAGTCCCACCAAGGTATGCACATTTCCTGCATATTGGTGCGCAATAACCATGACGCGCACATCATACAAGTTGGTGAAACAGAAGGTCCCGTTGCCCGGTGTTGTAGTGCTAGTGTAGAGTTGGAGTTCGATTCCCTGTGCGGGTGATACTTTTTCAAATTTACGGTTGAAAGCGACGGAGCCCGCGAGTAGTCACAACTCGCCCCCGCCGTTAGCCCGGGGAAGGGACGGCCGAACCCTTTCGCGAGTAACCGATGGCACGCACCGCGGGAGGGCGGTGGTGCGAAACGACAATTAGAAACGAAAACAAAAGTGGGGCAAAGCGAGGCGAGGCAAGAGAAGGAAATGAAAAAAAAAGGCCGCTGTTCACCCCCTCGCCCCCTCCTTCCTGTGTGACCGCGGCGCATACGTCTTGTTGTACCGAGAAACACGCCGGTGGGTACTATGTTGTGGTGGGAAGGAACAGGGAGATCAAGGTTACATTTTTCCTGATGTTCGCACCACATTAATTTTCCTCTAATACCCTAACACCACACTGACCCTCTACCCATCTGCTGCCATATGCCCTGGTTCCGGTTGCCTGTCGTGCAGGAAAAATGGGTGTACAGCGCTGACGCCCTGAAGAGGGATCTCGGAAACATCCCCACAAAGGAGAAGGACATTCCCCAGCTAGTATCGGCCGTGAAGGACGTGTGCGAACAGCATGGGGTCAAGGTGTCCGTGTCCACATCTTCTAAGGAGAGGGGGGGCGGTCGAGTGGTGGCGACGACGTTGCAATGCGTACATGGCATGCCGCAACGGAAAAAACCAGCAAGTACCGGTTAGTATAAATGCGCCATGATCTCCCCCCCCCCCCATTTTCCCCGCGTGAATGCCGACGTATGGAACACACGTGGCGTAGAGGTTGGGCGCCGCGACGTGGTAAAGGGCACCCGCAGTAACACCCGCCCCCGATTCGGTATGTGTCACCTGGTGTATTGCATCAATGGGTACAAAAAGAGCGACGTTCAGGTCCAGGCATGACGCGCGCTGCAGAGATGAACATGTTGGAGAGTGAGGAGTGAGGAATATATGTTCCACGCAACCTATGCATACTCGACCGTACCTAATGTGCTTTAGGCGGTCTCCTGCCACTCCCCTTTCCTTTACCTGTGTGGCAGACAACAGCACGAAGAGCCGGAGAAGCGACAGCCAGAGGACCGGCTGCAACTGCAAGGTTGGTGTTGTGTGTGTGTGTGGGTTCTGCAGCCCTGCCTTGGAATGTTGTCGTTATGCAAATGAAGGGCTAGGAGAGATGATGGGGGGGGGCAGGAAACACTTCTTCTGTCGTGTTGCAAGCATGAAAGACAGCACCTTACTCTCCGCTCGCCGTGTGTTCGATGCGACTATATTTGAATATGATGGAACGCCCCAGCTCGTACACACACATGCGTGGAGGTTCTTGGTTTGTTTTGGTTGACGTCAGCATGGGGTCGAGATTGTTTTTGATAGGGTGGTTTAACCTCCTTGAAAATACGATGAACACACTTTGCTTATCGTTGCTGTCGTTGCTGCGTGACTGTTGTGTTACCGACTGACTGGCCTTCAGATCAACATTCGATGGCCGATTAAGACCGACGTCCACCAGCATCCGCGGTTGACGACGATGGATTTGGAGCACCTGCACACCGTCGACAAAGAGGCTGCGGATGTTCAACAAGCACAGAAGGGGCCATTGACGACCCCAATGAAGGAGACCGCAGCGAAGCTCACTGGTAAGTCGTCTAGCCTCGCTTTGCTGGTGCTCGAGGTAGTGTCGTTGCCCGCCTCCGCCCCCCGAAGTTGGGCGCGAACGTTTTGTGTTTCGTTGACATCATCAAACTATACGACGTGCTGTACAGCTTGGACTCTTGCCGCAAGAGGGCAAGTGAGGCGCGTTGATAGGTGTGTGCTGATTGTGGGTGTCGTTGTAACGCGAACTTCTTTTGCTCTGGTATACCTTTACACGGGACGCAAGGTGTCCTCCTACCCGGGGACAGGTTAAAAATAGGCTAGTCGGGCAGTTCGGTGTTTGACCCAACGAGTGTGTTGTCCGGTGTTGGTCGGACGTGTGATATGTGGCCCAACGAGTGTGTCGTCCATACTACGTCCGCGTTCTTGTTCTCCGTTCCAGATGCTGGATTGAAACCGGCCGCGCAAGCGGTCGTCATAGAGGCTCTGCATGGCCGAAGAGTACACCCCAGGACCATGAGTGGCCAGAGGGGGCGGAGGGCGACAACTGAGTGGCCAGAGGGGGCAAAGCCCAAGTGGGCCGTAACCAAAAACCACGAGGCCCTATCTGAGGGCGAACAACAGGCCCCGCTTGTCGCCACCGGCAGGCTGCAGTGTGCCACGGACGGCGACAAGGGGGGGGGGGGAGCAGGGGGAGGGGTGCAGTGGGATGCTGGTAACGTGACCATTGAGTCTTCTCTAGTGCAGTTGAAGGAGACCGGGCCCACCCCGCAAGACCGCCGATTTCTCTACGTAGACTGCCTCAAGGAGGCAACAGCAGCTGTAAGCTTGGGGGTAGAGACTGTGCCTCCCGAAGCCCTGCGGGCACTCGTGCAGCAATTTAAGCAGGGAGTGCACCAGGCGTCGAGGATAGGATCGTCGGCAGGATTGGCGGTGGCAAATCCAGCTGTCGTCCGCCCGCCGACGAGCAGAGACACCGGCAAAAGAAAACGGGCGTCTCGCAAGGGGGGTGCTGTGGTTGGAGCGGCTAGACGTACGTACAACCAAACTTACGGTTGAATTGCAGGACCCATGCTTGCAGTGAGTGACACGAACCGTATCATCCCGGGCGCTCGGCCCCACTTGGTTAGTCTCGGAACCGTCCTCGGCGTCCGTGTTTGTGTGCTTGCAGGCGTGGCGAATGGGAGTGTATTATTTTCTTGGTTTCCGGTGGGTTGGACAGACGCATGTAAAATTGTTGGGGTTATCATAGACGGAAGGATCCCGGGCGTGGTGTGGTGTTTCATCTGCGTGAGCCCGTGCTTGTTCCGATTTTAGGATTAAACCACCAAAGGGTGTTACCAACCTGTGTTTTTTTTTTGGCACGCCGGCCGCACGCCGCAAGCGATTGATCAAAACCGTGCCTGGAACCCATTTGCCTAAATGAGACTTTGACCCGCTCGCTTTCAAGTTCTTCGTCCCAAATAATACTTTGACCCGCTCGCTTTCAAGTTCTTCATCCCAACTGCTTCAACCCTCGGGCGAACACCCATCCGCTCATCACCAAGAAGACTCTTGGGCTATATGCAAACGGCGCCATGATCGTTAGCCGTTCTTGTTTCGTCACCATGATGCCGTGAGCTGCAATTAATGCTGTATGCATACAGCAAGCTTGAACAGCCCGAGAGTGCCGTATAAGACACAAGATAATAACACACCCCTTGGACCGATTTTCAAAGCTCGATTTATAACAGCAGAAAGAATCGTAACGCTGAAAACGGTAGCGTTGAAACTGTCTGGTCGGATCGTTTCGATTATTCATCCTCCTCGTCGTTGAGACTATCGAGCTTTGAAAATCGGTCCAGGTCGTGTGTTATCTTGTGTCGTGTACGGTTGTATCATCGACCCATCAATATCGTAGAGTGCACTGATGTACATCACTGAGCAGAGCTTTCTCCTATTCAACTGCGATTCGCCGCTTTCCCCCCGATAATATCCATGAGGGACATGTCTGCTGTGGTCTGTGTGTGGTCTGCCCGGTGTGGGCGCTGTGTGCTTCGTGTGCCGCGCAAGGAGGCGGCTGTGTGCTCGGTGTGTCTTCGTGGTGAAAAAAGAGCGGTCGTTTGGTGCGTGGTTCTGTGTTTGGTTCTGTTATTGTGGTGGGATGGTTCTGGAGGCGTTTTCCATCCTGCAGGACTTCGTTGCAGGACCATCCTGCAAAGACGCCTTGATTGAGGACACCTGCATGCTGAAACCTCACAGGTGGATTGGATTTGAGATTGCCGGAGACATAGACGCGTTGAGTGAGGATACCTGCATGCTGAAACCTCACAGGTGGATTGGATTGGAGATTGCCGGATACATAGACGCGTTGAGTGAGGATACCTGCATGCTGAAACATCACCAGATGGATTGGGTCTCCCCAATTTGATTGTGATCCAAAGAGCAGGATCGCGCAACAACGAAATACACGGTCAGCGGTACCGTGTTCTACGCGTCAACAGACAGGGGGAGGAACGAAACACGAAGAGGAAATAATGGGCAGCCAGATGTGCAGCAACCGAGACTTCTCTCTCCAATACAGCGAGGCCGGTACATATTTTTGGGGGGATAGCAGCAACAAGGCAGAGTTCTGTCGGCCTGTAGGGATGGCGGGCGAGCAGTCACACGCCACACGGCGGGGCAGTGGGCCTAGAACCTAGAGTGAGGAGGACAGTGGGGTGTGGCGCGTGGGAATCGTGGTTAAGTTGAGGCTGCCAACGGTGACTTGCGGAGAAGAGACGCACTCCTGCTCCACATTTTCCCCAGCCAAAGTAGCATTCTGTAGACAAACATGGATGATCTACAATTTGTATGTACGGGATCATCGGCAAGTCTCGGCCCGCATGATGAGCGCGCTCCTCGTCGGGCATCGAGGATAGTCGATGCTTTGAGGAGATGGCTGTACGAGAGGGCCTGCTACTGCCATGTGTATGTCCTACTTGTTTACCACAGGAGCCGTGTGTCTGGCCAAGAATCTCTTCCCGAGTCAGTCGAAGATGAGACCTCTCTTACTACAGTTGTATGAGTTGGTGATTGCGTGATGTGCCTTCGGGACCCAGCAAAATAGCCTAGACTATTCCGTTATTGGCTACCAGCTACGTTCACGCTGAGTGTGGCAGACGCATAGACCCCCATCGATCGACCGGCACAGGAAAGTCTCTCTCGCCACTACGCCGAGAATCGTTACATATAAGAACACGCCAACACAGGTTTGTGTACGTACGCCTCTTTCTTGGTTCCCGAACTGTGCTGCTACGGACTACTAGTTCTCCGGCCCTCGCCACTGTAGGAAAGCGAACACCTGCAGTAGCCAGCCCCGTCCACCTACCCCTCCAAGCACAATACACTTTGCACTAAACCATGCCCCCATGTCCCTCCCCAGTACCCGTAGGATAACAGCCCCTCCTCATACTCTTTCTTCGGTAGCTTTCGCCTCCGTTTTCTTGTGACCGCAGTCTTGAGTCTTGAGACTGGGAAAGGCACGAACATTAATAGTCTAGCAACGACGCCAACAGCCTGCGACGACCACAACGACAGTAACGACTTGCCATGTGCATAATGATGAGTGAAGGGTGATGTCGGAAAACAAAGAAAGAAAGATGCACCCGTGCCTTTTGAGTCAAGGGGATAGGATACAGCGACAACGAACGAAACGGACTTAGACCACAGTAGAATATATAACTCCCCGGTGACAATTCGGACTGACTGTACACTACATCAAGATTTGGCACGCCTATTTGTCTTGGTTTTTCCACGAGCGGAGGTGATTTTAGCTCATGGACACAACAACGTTCGAAGCATTGCCTTCGTGTCGTCAAGGACAACAAGAGACGAGGCCCGCTACAAACCTGGTTTTCGACAAACACGGTGCTTCAACCCTACCCCTGAATGGCGCGCGTCCCACAGGGCACGATCATGTTGTAGTCCGAAACCGGCCCATCTTTAGGATCGCGGCCGACACGTCCCGACGCCACTGCTGAACCGGAAAATATATGACAATGAGCGGCAAAGCTTCTTCTGTTACTGCTGGCCCCGGGAAAACCTGGCCGTCACGCAATCCCCCTAGCTTAGCTCGGCTGTGCCATCGCCCAAGCCGAAGCCGCCAGGCCCTTGGCCGAAAGAAGCCTCGAGCTCCGCTTCAGCAACTAGAAGGAACTGCGGATAGATATCGTCAGGAAAAACGGCGGACGAGATCGCCAGGCATGCCGTTAGGGAGCGGAGTTCATGGTTAAAAGACCAAGATTGTGTAAGATCGTGAAACTGTGCTATGTAAGCTGCGCTGCAACAGTTGTTTATCAAGGGTCGCAGCAGGCCGTTTACTCCATCCATCCTACAATCCAGAGCCTGCACATGCTTTTTGGTTCCGCTCGCATACCGGGTGCTGCAGAAGTTCGTTGGCCTTCAACCGCGCATCAGGGTCGATGATGAGGCATTTCGACAGAAAATCCGTCGCTTCCGAGGAAATGTTTTCAGGAAATGCCGGTGGCTGCGAGGTGGACAGCGGTAAGGAAGGACACGAGCATTGCTGTTGGACGTAGCATTTCTTCTTGTCCTAGCCACCTAAGTTAGCTATCGCCACGACCCCGTAAGAGCTGAGGTCGTCAGAACTGCAAATCTCACCACTTGGCTGGGTAATGAGCGATGGCAGCGATATGTGGCGTGTGCACTGTTGATCGAGGCACTTAGCCGAGGGACATCACCATCCTTCAGCCGTGCCGTCGATGCACGAAGAATGTGGCCAATCGTGTCCGTTCCCTGTACGGCGGGAGCGAAGCGACCAAAAGCATGTGACACCCTCTCAACCAAGGGACTATACACAGAGAGACTCATGAACTCACTGCCGTGGCGGTGGCGACGTGGTAGATAGCCGCCATGTTGTTCGAGAACGGAGGCCAGGGATACCGAGCCGTGTACATCTCGATCATCGTCGCCCCTACGCTCCACACGTCGGCGCTTCGGCCGTGGCCCGTCTGCTTGGCCATCTCGGGAGCCATCCACGGAACCGACCCCCGCATGGTCCTTAGGCTATCGTCGAAGCTCTGACACGCGACGCGAGCCATGCACATTGGAACAGCGTTGTACTCCAAGATGACCGTCGTCCGTTTTCTGACCATCGTCTATCGGTGACGTTGATCGCAAGAGTTTCTCACCGAAACATTTCTTATTCTTACGCATACTCCCAACGGATTTGTCGCGACCACCGCAAAGCTATCGCAAAATCGTGTGAAGGCGGTCAACGGCACCGAGCACGCCGAAATGTACTCAAGAATTCGGTTGCGCTGACTGTATCGACATCTGTTAAATGGTGTGGTCAATGGCGAAGATGATTGAGTACTGATTCATCTATGCCCGAGAGTTCTGCGATGCATTACTGTATAACCATATGTTGACACCACCTTCGGATTCAAACTGGCTCACACTTGTATAGACAAAAATCCTGTGGTGTTGTTGCTCAGATAGGTACAATGGCCTTTTCGTGTGTACTGTAAGTCGTTCTCACCGGAGTGGTTACTCCTTGAAACTGCTTGGAGCACCCGAAGTCCGCCAGTTTCGCGATGCCCTGAGAGCCGAGTCGACAAGAAGTGCAATACGCGAAGTGGGCATGACGGTGGCATCGCCTTGCTAGCTGTCTATAGCGTTTACGGGCACAGCATCGTGACGTTAAACTACTTCAAGGTTTCTGCTGAAACGAATTTAGTGTGTGGGGCCCTGGGGGTCGCATATGCTGCTTACAACCTCCAAAGGACTACTGCACAGTGAAAGGACAGAATATCGTGATTTGCAACGTGCGACACGGAAAGGCACACAAGTCGAAGGAACGCCTACAACGAAGAGTCGTACTTTCTTGTGGATGGAACACAGCATGTTGTTGGGGATGGCTGAAGGCACGAGCTACATATGTACTGCACGGCCGTAGACATCAGGAGAAACTGAGGAAGAATAACAACTCTGCGCATGGTAGGTGACGGCTATTTCGCGAGTTAAAATCGATAGATGTTGCACGACGGAGTTCCACCGGGACTGTGACTACATGTTTGCAGTGAAGCGGTGTCCATTGTTATTCTGACCGATTCGCCGTGTTGCAACGGGATATACTACAATATACAGTCGTACCTGTTCAGTAACCAGAACGTTGGCGCCTTTGATGTCTCTGTGGATGATCCCTTTGTCATGCAGGTACCGCGTTCCGAGCAAAATCTGGTGCATGAACCGCCTGACCAAGTCTTCTCTGAACACTCCGAACTGTTGCAGCATGCTTGCGATGGACCCACCCGGGACATACTCGAGAAAGATGTACAGGTGCCGCGTTCCTCGGTCGGTGCCGCAGTAGCGAACAATGTGCCTGCATCCAATCGCGCCAAGGTAGCACCACGAATTACGCAAGACCGGGTTAGGGGTGCGGGAGAGGGCCTGCAAGCACGTTTATAGCCTCACTTTGTCGAAGGTCAAGCCCACACCGGCACGATGAAGTTGTACTGGATGTCCGCGCCAAGGATACTATAACATTTTCGCACAGCGAAGGGAACGCACGTGAGCGCGTCTGACGTGGGCCAATTTTCTGCCGGTACAATTTCGATGTTTTATACAATCGCTTCAAGAACGTGGGGTACGCGTACATGAGGTTCACGCCTCTGACAATGCCAAATGCTACGGAAAATCTTCACCTGTGGTCGAGGTCTTTCATGAGATCGATCTCTGCCTCGAGGGTGTTGATTTCGTCCCTCAGACCGTGCCTGAGGCTTATCTGCTTAACCGCGAACAGCTCCCCGGTAGACTCGTTCAACCCTTTGAACACCTTTTCGTTGGACACCACACGCGTACGTACGTACATGAGAGGTGCCCCAAGAATGATTGAAACTCTGGACGATGAAAGGAGTTGTCCCGAGACACACAATGCTGCCTCTGTCCGTGTAAATCGCCCGTTCTGAACGCGAGCGAATCGCGTCAAGCTTGGTTCGTACGCGCCACCAGGATGCCATTGGAAGCAAAAAAGTATGGTCGAGAGATACATCAATGACGCCTACCAACACGCGAGGAATCCGAGAATCGGACATGGACTAGGCATCGTCTGACTGCCCGCCCATCCACGGATCTACGGATAGATGGTTCACTATTCTCGCATGAAAAGGTAAGAGTTGAGGCATGCAAAATCAAAACATCCGAGCTCTGAAAATACGTCGGCACCTGCGGCGGGGGCGCCTTCGACCCTTACATCAATACAGATGAGTATGCACAATTATCAAAGCCGTGAAGAAGACCTGCGTGCGGTGCAGATGTCATTGAATTCGCCAATGACCTGGAATTTTTGGGGCACATTGCACAAGCTCTCCCTCCCCGCAAGGACTGACGTTTACGGCAAGATCGAAAGAACAGCTTCGGCTACTATGCAGACGTCTAGCCTTGCAACAAGCTAGCGCTGTCCGAAGTGCAAGGAACTTCTCCGCGCATCCGCAGACCGCCACAACAATCGCGAGGCGTACCATGGGTGGAATATCCCCGTCCTCTGCACCCCTCACCTTGCCGAACGAGCCCATCCCAATCTGCTCCCCCCTCTTCCAGTGGATGGCGTGGGGGTGGGGGTGGCGAGAGACGCACGTGTGGCAACCGTTGTCAGCCGCCCACTGGCTGTCCTCGCCATCATCCGGCCTGAAGGGAAAAGAGACGGGCGCAGCGTGTGTACAACATGGCGACGGAAGCCATGAAATCGTCGAAGCGCACGCAGGGAGGATATCACCACAACCTCATGTAGTTACTTTTGTGTGCGTGAGGACCCCAAGCAGCGATGCAACCCCCTCACCGGAAATATACACAATGCCGCTGGATCAAGGTTTTCCAATAATATGCGCTACGATAGACGTCCGATGGGAATCCCATAGACGCTAGTCCGCTGGGTCAAGGTTTACGAAAATACGATACGATAGACATCCGTTGGGAGTCGCATAGACGCTAGTCCACAACACCGAGATTGGGGACATGCTAAGAGCCAGGTAAGAAAAAGGAATACAGTTCTTATGCATTAGTCTGTTGTTGTTGGCGTATTGCTTGTGACGGAATGCTTATGGGCTTGAAAGGCACGCCCGGGCTGGAATGCTGGACATGTATAGTTAGTGTTATGGTTGGTATCTTGCTCTGTTTCTGGTTGATGCAGCCCTGTCTCTACTAATAGGTTTGAAACAAACCTACCCTCCATGTCTCCAAACGCCCGATCCTGAATCCGAGTCTTCCGAAAGATCCGCGGAAAAATCTGCAGAAACTTCCACGGTTAGTGACTCGGATAGCTCCTCTGTGGGAGGGGGGATGGGAATAGGGATGTCCACATCCTGCCCCACACCGGAGAACATTAGCACAGAAGTTGCACAATTGTCCGCGTCACCCGATCCTGCAATTGCTGCAGCTCCCCGCATGTCTGTATCCGCCTCCACCTTGTTGCGGTGTTCAGAAATAAACCGACATTTTTTCATCGGGACACGCGCGCGGACGCCGGGCATATCGGGCAATATGGAACCGCTGGCCAACGGAGGACCTCACACATGTGACACGAACCCCCAGATGCCTAGCAACACAGGGAGCCAAGCGTATGCCTCACGCTCCACTTCCCCTGCGCCGTTGTTGAGCCACACACACACGCCGCTGTGAAGACACACTATTTAGCGTACTCCTTTCAAAACCAATGTTTTCTGATGCTATGCTGCGGTATCAAGTTCTGGGAAGGCCGCTGACGTTCGAGGCCGTTTTCACCGAGAGACCGTTTTCGCCGGTCTCTCCACAGTTTTCCACACGAGGCTGCTTGATCCAGCCTTTTCTCGTTCAACCTTCGAGGTTCAGAGAAAAAAAACTAGTCGCTGCAATGGGGATAATAATTTGCTTCATATGGAACGAAGCCCTGCTCGTGAGCGCTAGCTACTCTTGAGGTGTTGAGACCTGTCCCAATTCAGTTGGTAGTGTGCTTTCGCTGGATTATATCGTGCTTGCGACCGTGAAGATGACCTGGCCGGCTGACAGCATTTCGCACCGACAAACACAACAGTGTAGGATTCGTTTTGAGGTAGCTGATTCTTACCATCTCGCAACATATTCCGGACGACGCTGCTGCATCTATTTGTGTAGGACGTACATTCTGTCCTACAGCAATGAATTGTGCTACAGTACACACGACGAAAGGGCTGCTGTATTGTTGCACCGTGGCGTACCTCGGCCGATTCAGCCAGAGGCGATTCCCGCCTTTCCGCAGATGTATCACCGCCCTCCATTTCTCCGGGTCCTTCCAGACCACGGAGAAGATGGAGATTTTGTCCGTCCTGACCTTCCGAGGGTATAGACCACGGAGCATTCGCGCTCACTTTCCTCCCTTGTCTGGGCAACGCACTCCTGTTTGGCAATTTATCCGTGAGGGCATTTTTGTCGGCCCTGGTTTGGACGTTGGGGATGAGCATGGGAGCAACGGATGGGTGCGAGTTAGCTGCGGACACAAAACGTGACGCGCCACCTTTGGCTAGCAACGAACACGGAACAACCAAAACCTCCGCACTGTTTCAGCGTATAATGAAGGTGGGCAACATGTACTCTGTGGCGGTAGTCGAAGGTGTTAGACATTCCGTACAAGTTTCACATTACGCTTATGGCATCTTTGTACCTGGGGTCAAGAGGCTGGCGTGCACCAAGGACAAGCGGAGGAGGGATTACACCGCCACCACGGCAATTGCTGCTGTGGCTGCCACTACTGCCACTACTCGTGCCGCTTACACCGTTGCTTCCCCCCGGAAGTTCTTCCTCCCCACTCCCCACCGCGTGAGAGGCAAGTGGGAAGCGGCTGGAATTGAGCGGCGGGCTTGCTTTCAGCCCGCGCAGACGCCCCCTCCCTCCCCTCCTCGTCGAGTCGCCGCCCCCCCCTCTCACACCTTCCCCGCCAACCATGTCGTCGCTAGACAGGGCCGCCGCCGCGGCCGCCGCCTCGGCGCAAGGCCGGATGCCAGCACGCGCCGCCCGCGGCGATTGCCGGGGCGACTGGCGCGGGGAAGGGGCAGGGGGGGCCAACATCTTGGAAGAGGCCGGCGGTGATCCCAGGCAGAGGCTGGTGCTGCTTCTGCTGCGCTGGAGTTCGGTCGAGGTTGGCGGGAGGCCGGCAGCGGCGCTGTCTGAGCTATTGCGGTGGCCAGGCTTTGCGGACCTCCGCTCGTCTCTCCTCCCGCCGCCGCTGGGGGGATGCGGCCTGTCCGCCTTCGTCTCCACCTGCGGGCGTCTTGGCGGGAGTTTCGCGAAACCAGGGAGGGGTGCAACGAGGGTAAGGTTCGACGGCGAGGAGGAGGGCCGACGGTCGCAAAGCCCGCCGGCCCTTTGCCCGCCCGGTTGTACTCCGTCCGAGTCGGTCCTTGCCCTGTCGGGTGGGAAGGCATCGTTTGCGGCTAGCGGAGAGAAAGGAATCGAGCTACCGATGTTTAGCGGGCGGCCCTTCAGCGGGGGTGGCGGCAATCCCGCTTCCGCTCCCCTGCCCCCCGCCTCGGCCGGGATTGCGGCTAACCGCGGCGACATTGAGGGCGCTTTCTTCGACTTGCCCTTTTTCTTCCAAAGGCCAAACTCGTAGTAGACCCCCGCGTTTTCCCGGAACCCAACCGCCGGATCCAAGCTGCAGCCCGTCACGAGACTCTTGAGGATCGAGTCGTTTCTCCGAACAAGCAAGGAATTTTCCTGGTCAGCTGCTACGGCCAGGCCGCCGGCTCCGGGCGAAGACGAAACCGGTAGGCGTGGTCCCTCGCCGCTCTCGCTGCCAGCGGCACCTGCCTGCTGACCTCCATCCTGAGCAGAGATATCGTTGCGAGCATGTCGAAAGTCACGATGCTCGACCAACAGCCTGCTACTGCAAGTCCCCAGCTTCGGGGTGGTTTGATCCGCGATTGAGTAGCCGCCGGAATTTTCCGGGGAGATGGGCTGATCAACGGTAAGTGTTCTCCCGGCAGGCTTGCCGGCGCCCCTAACGGTAGGCACCGGGGAAAGGGCATGGTGGTGCGCCTGCTCAGTTTGTTGGTGGTAGTGCTGGTGTGACCCAACAACAGCAGAAGCGGCGATGTGCGGCTTGGTGTGCAATCTGCGGTCGAGCACAGAAGAAAGCTTAGCACATGATGAAACAGATGATGCTGTTGGGGACGGAAACACCTCGTCCGGTAGACCCGGGGTAGCGGCGAGCCTCTCGCATCTAGCGCAATCGTTGCTTTTTTGCCTTGATCGAGCCTTTGTTCCCGGCTGCTCTTGACCTTCCGGGCGTTGGCCGCTGAAGAAACAGGTAGACACACGTCGAGGGGTCATGCAACATCGTCGAGGGGGCACCAAATTTCAACTATGGAGAGCCGATGATGCACATTGTTTTTCATGGAGCCACCAGCCCACCGGGTGCACGATATGGCATTAATTTTAGGCTTTTTTACAATTTCTGACCGGCATGTGATAGGTCGAGAGTACCGTAAGAGTCGGAGAGTTGGCACCGGCCGGAGAGATGGCACCGGTCGGAGAGATGGCACCGGGGTGCGATAAATAACCCGAGAAAAAAACATTTAATTCGATTTACGCACCGGGGTCGGTGAGATCGCACCCGGTGCGATCTCTCCGATCCCCAAATCCAAGATTGAACTCCTTTTCAGCTGCCGGAATGAGGTACATGTGCGTACCTTTGACACGTGGGGACGGAGTCAGCGGAGCGTCACTCACGATTGGATGGTCGCGGTTCACGCGAGATGCCAGTCGTTATCATATTATTATTGGTATGGAAGTTGCCAACCGTACACTCAACCAAACACACAACGTACAAGCCGCACCCTACCCCACCTTACACAACCCGAAACTATTGTACTTCTGCGTACGTATTGGTATCCGTAGAAGAAGACCGAAACGAAAGCGGGAACCAATTGATACAGTGTGTACTGGTACCACCCTCAGATGGAAACGACATCGTTTGTAGTTGTCACGCCACAGCCAAACTCGCATCAAACACAATCAATACTACGGCAACGGTCGGGGAGATGGCACCGGGGTGCGTGCATACAACACCTGCGTGCATTTCATCGGGATCGCACCGGTCGGAGAGATCGCACCGGGGTGCAACACCTGTGTGTATTTATTTCATCGGGGATCGCACCGGTCGGAGAGATCGCACCGGGGTGCCTTGAAAATTCTAAACGAAATGATTGAATTGCATTTCCGCACCGGAGTCGGAGCGTTGGCACCGGTCGGAGAGATGGCACCGGGGTGCGATCAAAAACCCGAGGACAAAATCTTTTTTAAAAAGATCGCACCCGGTGCCAACTCTCCGACTCTTACGGTAACTCTCGCATGTGACGAGTTACCTCTAGCGTATTGTTCGGACGCCTGGCCCGGTGTGCCACCGCCAACACTCCGACTGGAGAACATCAGGGCGAGTCGAAAAGCTCAAGTCACCGTTTTGCCAACGGATACAAAATATCCCAGAGCAACAAAGAGACTCACTACAGTAGTACCATTTAATCGATACCTACGGGATGATTTCGAGAGTGCTATGAGTTGAACATCTTCTTCATTCTGCTCGATGGGAAGCACACAAATACCGTGCAGGTGCAGGTCAGGCAAGCCAGAAGCCTTCTCATATTCGACTTATTTCCCGTGCTTAACGAAACCTCGTTTGTCTGCACTACGTACAGTTTATAGTGTATGCTATTTGGACACCCAGCACTCAACCACGCGAAAGCCCTGCAATATCTGTGGCCACCTTACCGTACCTGGTCTTTCTCCGGCTAGGAGAAGGCCTGAGATGCAACGGCGCAGGCGCCTTCTTCTCGAAATACGAGTTTTCCCGTTGGAGGTTGGGTGTATCTGCGCTCGAAGAGGCATCGTTCGTCGGCTGCTTCTGCTCAGGAGACGTCGGCGCGCTATCGACCGTTTGGCCCCGACCTTGAGGTGGCGATTGCTTCGTTTTCCGCACCCCCCCACCCTCCACGCCTCTGGTTCGCCGTCGCCCCCTGACCCCGCCGCTGCCCTTGCTCTTCCCATCGGCATGGACAATGTCGTCGAGTGCCCCTACAACCGGGGGAGAGCAACACAGGAGAGGTGGCGACGAGTGCAAGGCGCCGTCCGAACCGAGACTTCCGCAGAGGAAAAAGCTAGCGGCGTAAGCCTCGTCGTCGGGATCAGCGTCTGACACGCTACAGATGGAGCCGGAGCGCTGCAGGGGGGATATACGGAGCCCTCCATCGCTGCCGCAGAAAGACGAGGATCGCGTAGGCGAAGCCGACATCAGACCTAAGGTTGCCGGCGCCGGGCCCGAGATGACGGGCGGAGGTTTGAGCCCTTTCGATGAAGGTAGCCCCCCGGTGGCGTTCGATGATCCGTGTCCATGCTCGCCGGCGTCACTCCTGGAGGATGCAATGCCTCTGTTGTTGGGGGACGGAATCGCGGGCCGGCGGTGTTGGCCAGAGACACCAACAATCCCTCGTGGCGGCTCGATGGAAGCGTTACAAGCGGGCCCCCAGCTGGTACTCCTCAAGATATCCACCCCCGGAGCCGTGGCGGGCTTGCGCGACGCGGTTCCTGCCCCCTGGCTCCCCTGCTGGTCGCTTTGCAAACCCAAACCGGGAGACTGGCCTCCTCTCGACGAAGGAGGGATCTCGTCCACCAACGACATGCACCGACGAAGCAGCCCCGATTTCTTGATCGCACCGTCTCCGAACCCCATGGCGTCGCCAGAAGAGACCGTTGCCGCTATCGTCGCCGCCGCTACCGCCGCCTCTTCGGAGCCCGACCTCACTCTCCCCACGCCGTGGCTGCCGCTGCTGCTTTTGTCCGAGGCCTCGGGTGCGTCCAGCAGCCGCCGCCTAAGTTTGTGCGAGAATCCCGATGCCGAGGACGATGATGGGCTGACCGAAAGTCGTGCAACGGCTGCTGCTGCTGCTGCTGCTGTGGTAGAGGGGGTGGTGGCGGTAGCGTGGATAGGCTTCAATGGGTGGTGTGCTGGTGTTCTCTTTGGAGAGGGAGACCAAGATGCCGGTATCTCGCTCCCCGCAGGGGTGATTGCTGCTGGCGGGCTGCTGGCAAGGGTTGCCATGCTCACCGTCGAGAGAACGCTCCTACCAATATCAATAACGCGAGAGGACGCGGTCACCGTCCCGCACGGCAACGCACGGGATGACGATGATGGTGTGGATCTTGCCTCGGTGCTTACCGCAACCGTACAAGGGTAGGCGGATGGGTCGGGTAGCGGTACGAGGGATTTCCCGGCCAATGCAGGCATTATAGCCATGCTTCCTCCGCCTTCACAATGAAATGTTGACGCCGACGCCGTTGGTGCTGCTGAACCCTCCGGGACTGGTTCAGCTGAGTTCGATGCCGCCGCAGGGGTAGGGCTTGAGGTCGATGATGCAGCTGGACGTGCGATCGGTGTTTGTACAGTCACTTTCGCAAGGGAGCACTCGGCGTCGTGGAAGGACTTGGGAGAGGTGGAATAGGGCGCCAGGGCTTGTGCTCGTGGGGAGTGTGGTCGCCCGTTGATCCCGGGCAACTATGTGGAAGCCGTTTTCAAGAGAAATAAGGGCGGGAGTGGGGGGAACGTTGAAGCAAGAAGCACGGCGGCATTGATTAAGTCAGAGGGATCGTGTTGTGCACAAAGCTGAAGTAAGTGCGCCAAGGTAAATCCAACGTTTGCCTGCTGCACTTGCGTTGATCATGTCGTCATTTTGGTAGGTTGGTTGGTGCCAACCTACGAGACGAACCCACACTTTTGCGTGGCAGGTGAAGACCTTCGGATGTGTACTATTTTGGCAGCTGTTTCTATTGTAAACACCGGTGCCTATTTTGAATCACGTGTATTGAAGAGGACACATTGCTCCCCTGGTTGTACTGTAGACACCCGGTGCGCAGCCAAACGCTACACATGTTGTCCGTGTGTACGTAGACTACAACTGACGGCTATGTTCATCTTTCACGTGTACAACCGAAGACTGCACCGCCCCCCCGGTAAGAAACTAAAAATTGTCTTGTGGTGTTGAACCAAAAGCTGTATGTACGGAAGAGATGGGTGTGGGTGAGGGACCCACAGGCAGACGGATGGATCCTTATTTGCCACGAGGAGCTCACTTCCATGGAGAGAGAAAACAACGGCAGCAGAGCCTAGGAAGACGCTTGCGATCAGCCAACAACGACTACATGTACCATCGCACAGGTTGCCTAAGTCACACGCAAAACTAAAGAAGGAGCTAGAAGACCGCCCGAAAAGCAACCGAGAGCAATTTGGTCAGGTTCAACCTGTTGCACCGACGATCAGATCGTAGACTGCAGTACAACGCAAACATGTAGTCTAGTCTATACCTCGTCAGACTGCTGTCGACGCTTTGCTTGTGGCGATGCTTCTATGGTATGCTGCATGCAGAGGCGGAACGAGAAACATGACGAGAGGTTGTACAGCAGTTCCAAAAAGAGTGCGCGCTAACCTGCCGCTGTGTGGTAAACCTGCACTGCTGCCTACTACTGCTGTACATGAACAGAGACTTCCAAGTCTTGGGTCAGAGTATCCCAGCATCCCGCATCGTTTACGAGTCGATTTCCTCTTGTTCCCGCGGGCAAGCTATACGCACAGGCCATTGCTGCCCTCTCCTGAAGCATATTCTTGGCGTTGCTGCTCGGCAACATGGCCGGTGTTCGCTGCTCTATGAAAGGCATGTGCAGGACAGCTGGGAGACGATGGATCCACAGGAGAGTATCCATGCACATGGTCTGCGCCTGTCTACAGCTACCCCTGCCTGCCGTTGCTGAAGTGTTGAACTGATGTCTGCTTTCGTCTCAAAGCTCGGTGGATCGAAAGTCCGCCGTACGTACAGTGCAGTAGGCAAGCACTCACCGGCTTGTTCATCGCCTCAAGCTCTCATTCCGAAATCACGCAAACGCGGTTGTCGACTTGTACGGCAGGCACGCGATCACGGTGACCGCCAACCATCCCCATTTTCGGAAGATCGCGGCGGCCCCGGGGATGGGCGGGTTCTGTCCCCGGGGCTCCGTACATCATGCACAATGACCATATAGGTATAACGGGATAAAGTACCAATGCATGTGCCCCCCCCAAGACCGAGAACTGAGAACTTGAGAAGAGCAGCAGAGCAAAAGGCACGCACGGCAGAAATAGGGAGCCACATCGAGGTTGTGCGGGTGTGGCCAGAGGGGAAGAGGAAAAGACGGGTGGAGGAACTCGCAGCTACTAGCACGCTGTCGGGGGGAAAACAAAGATAGTCAGAGACTGAGGTGAGAAGGTTCACGGCAGCAGCAGAAGAGATTCTGGTAGCAGGCTGGGCAGAGGCTAGAGGATGCAGCAGTAGAGGGGTATGCTGGCGCGGCCGTGAGTATTAGCCCTCTGGCAGCACTGATTTCCACGTGCAACGTCGACGTGTTATTTGGCGTTGCCTTGAGCAAGCAACCGTTGCTCCTGTCTCTCTGCCTCTTGTGCGCAAGGTGTTCGTGAGCGGCCTATCTTAGAACGCCAAGCCTTATGGGAGCGCTGCCGTACTTCCCCCCCCCCTGATTTCTTGTGTTTGTTCCGCACACCAACCACAACCCCAAGTGTACACACAGCCGCCCACCCTGCTTCTTCTTGTTGTTTGGGGTCAAACCTCTTCTCTGGGTGCTTTCCCAAGCCTCCAGGTAGACTTGTAGTCTAACCAGGAGGCTTGCAGAGAAGGGTTTACGCCTGCTGGTGATTTGATGTGTTGGTCATCTGCGTTGCTCTGATATGTACCGCCGTTGACATGCCAGACTGCGACTGCTGCTGTACATACACCTGGGTCATTCTCGAAGCACCTCAACATAATCGCTCCCTATTATAGTATACCAGCTTGATTGTATCTCTCGTTATGCGATTTGATTCTCTGAAGCAGTGTCCTTCGGACAAACACTACTGAGATTGCTGTTGTTCTGTTGTTCTCCTTCCGTATCGTATGCTAAGTCACTGCGTCTCGTGGCATTACTGCTGTGTCAAACGTGTCGACGCCCGCCCAAGCAAACATTGACATTTGCGGCACTGTACTGCTGCTGCAGCTCGCTTTGGGAGAGCAGCCGTTCCGTTGCTCAATAATCCTCCTGCTCGGTTTGGTGTGATGCGGCTGTGTCCAACAGCAGTGACTGCCCCAGCTTTTTTTTTCTGGCGTCGCGGCATGTTTTCATGTTTGTCACAACAAGGGTAGTGGTGGTTTCGTGAGGCAGGCGCGTTCCAATGTACTTCTATCATGATACAGCGGCGTTGCATTGCACCATGGTACGTTTTGGGTGCAGAGTCGCGGTTGGCCGCCCCACTGCCTGCCGGATGTCACGCACAGCAGCCAGCAGCAGCTGGGCCACATGTTGGCGACAAGCACCGCCGTCGACATGACAGCTTTTTTCGTTTCTTCCTGTCCTGATGTTTTGTTTGGGACGTTCTTCGAGTTGGCACCCATCACGACATGACAACTGGTACAGCTGTACACTACTACATAACCATTTCACCCACTGCCTGCGTGAACAGCCGCATGATGAGTAGCTCTATTTAACCCCTGACTGAAGCGGTAGCCCTACGATTGTGACCTACCGATTCGCTGCTCGCTACACTCTTCATCTCTGCTAGATCCGTCCCCTCCCAAGAGCCAGGACGACCCAACTCCCTCTTGCTTGGCGCTGACGGCGGTTGACGCGGGGGGGAGTGGTGGTAGTGTGCATCAGCCTTAGCGGCGTGAAATAACGGGAAAGGGCATCTGCAGGAGCTCGTAACAGGGAGCTAGCTAGCTCTAGGTGCTGGCAAGATGGTGGCCTCCGCTCTGTTCATCATGGACCTCAAGGGGAAGATCATCATCTCGAGAAACTTCCGCGGAGACGTGCCGATGACGGTATCCGAAACTTTCAGGTGAGCTGGCGACCGAGCGATTGTTTTCTGTTGTGCTGTTATGCAACGGCTACGTCGAGCTGTCAGCGTCTGGAGCTTGCGGCGTGACGAAAACGAAGCCCCCCCACCCCCCTCTTCGCACAGTGGAGTTCCCTGAAGAAGGCGTTCGCCCTATAAAAGGCGGGAAAAATTAGGGGCGTTGACGCAAAAATCAAGTTGTTCTAGCATACACATCGTATAAGGCGGCTGCCCCTATAAGGCGGTCAAAGCTGCCCCACCGCCGCCTTATGGGGGACCCCCGCTGTAACGTTGCTGGAAAAAGTGTGTCCACTGTTGGCATAAACGAAATTGTGAGATTGCATTCGCCCAGAAGTATTACAATTGAAGAAATCTGTTGTAGAAGCGACACAAAGAACTCTCTTGGTCTACTTGTAGCTGTCATTCGGCGGCATCGGACCGACTAGGTGTGCATCGTACTCCACAGTATCCGAGAGTTGCTGTCAGAGAAAAACGGTTTCAGAGAAAAACGGTTTCAGACGCCCTCCGTGCTGGTACTACACCAATCGGCGAGATTAATTCTGCGATTCCACTGTGAATGGCATTCTCGAGAGTACTGTAGGGGTATAGCTCAAGGTGTTCTTTCTGAATGTTAGTGCGGAGATGCAAGAGATTGAGAGGTGTCGGTCATGGCAAGCCGCTTGAATGAAGAACAGTGTGCGCCGATCACGGGACAGAAGAACGACGTGACACATGACGACATGACACATGACACATGGCATGAGCACGACACCCCCGTTTTGTCGAGGTTGGCTTATCGCACCGAATAGTGGTATGCTTTACTCTAGGATGGCACGAGGTGGAAGGTGACAGACGAGACATTAGTTGTGCTGGTCTGTGTTGGGGCTCTTGCTTGACGTCGTTGCCGGTTGAGGCCCAGAGATGGCGTCTATTGCAGTGGTGCTATCGTACAGTTTCCCGCTGCTGCTCTCTCACTGGTGGCTTATCGGGCACTGGTAGAGGTGCACCACTGTAGCACCCCCTGTCCCGCCGACGCATTCCCGATTTTACAGACAGGCACACTTGCTGAGACATGTTAGAAAATGGTAACCTGCTGGAAGTGTATCTTGTTGTGTGGTGATTGGCTGGTTGTTCCGTTGCCATCATACTGTACAACTATTTGTTGTATCCGATAGAGAAGCAGAATAGCCGTGCCGCCCTGATTCCTCTTGTCGTGTTTTTTGGCGTGGGCTCGTGAGTCGGTGTGTGGTTTTGGATTCCCTCTCTTCCATCCTTGTCTCGGACGTTCATTTTGTTGTATAGGTTGTCGTTGCTGGGTAGTATGGTGCGGAGGGCTATGACAACCTACCTCCTTCTACCCTGACAAATGTGTTCTTTTTTTCCTGACATGGCAGCAATCACATCCAAGAGAGGGAGGAGATGGAGCAGAAGCCTATCTTCACGGTGGAGGGCGTGACTTTCGTGTACGTGCAGTACAACAACCTCATTCTCATGAGCGCCACCAAGAGGAACAGCAACGTCGCGCTCATGCTGGTGTACTTGTACAAGCTGGTGAGACTCTGTTGCTGTCGGACTTCTGACTTTGGCGCTCAAACGCAACACCCATTGCTCTTCGGTTGTTTTTATCGGTGTTGTGTTGAAGAACGTACAGACAGCACAGTACGTCCCTGCGTATGACGAAGACGGCTACGTGGATGGCATACAATACAACACAGATTAGTGTTTCACGAAACAGTTTTTTCCATAGTACACCAATTCCATTCGTTTCATTCTGCTCGTGACAGACTCTTGACTTTGACCTACAGTTGACCTAGGAATGGGCAATAGCGCCAAGTCGAGTGTTTTCTCTCTCGTTCTTTTTTTTCCCGAAGATGCATTTGCTATGCATACCTACGATTTTCAACGTTTTACCCGTTGACATGTGTCTTGTTCAGTCGACGTGTTCAAACCGAAACTCGCTTCAGTACATGTAATCTGACAATCGTATCCATCGAGACAATCATCGTTGTCACGCAAGATGCCGGGAGTTGATTGCTGATGGTTAACATGTTCGAGGACTCCTTCTTATTTGTGACCGTTTGTTGGGTGAGGTTTGGCCTGGTCCCCGATCGGCAGTTTGCCGCAGTTTGGTAAAACAGTGATGCTGTGTCTCTGCTCTAGGTCTGCACAGTTCGTGTGGAATGTGGAATGAACACCGCCGTGTGTAGTTATTTCGCTTGAGCGATCTTTGGCATGTTTAACTAGTTCCATGACACTATTGTTTGTTCCGACCTCTCTTTTCGTAAGTTGGATGTGCGCAAGCATTACTATCATGTCGTTCATGTCTAGTCCTCCTTCTGTGGTGTTTTTGTTCCACCATATCATCCTCTTTCTCTTTCCTTCAGGTCGACGTTTTCAAGGACTACTTCGGGGAGCTTGAGGAGGAGTCTATTCGAGACAACTTTGTCATCATCTACGAGCTCCTCGACGAGACCATGGACTTCGGATACCCACAAACCATGGAGTCCAAGATTCTCAGGGAATACATTACCCAGGCGAGTGTTGTTTTTAAAATAATAGACAATTGTCTATGTTGGTTACGTCGTTGTCGTGTCGTTGTTGTTGTTGTTTGTGTGCTTGTAACGTCAAACCGAGTCGCCTTGTTGGTGTCCGGTGCCCTGCAGCTACCTGTGTTGACCAAACCACACCCGTTGTTAGCAGCATGCCAATAGCAGTTGCCATCAAGTTTCCATCATTTGATCATGCTCTTGTATGTTGTAGCTGCTGTGCACCTTTGGCATACTCACGACCTGTCACAACCTCAACTAACATTTATAGTTGAGTCCCTAGCTGTCGACGTCATATGCTTTGGGCTCCGTTTTCTCGAGCTGATTCCGCGACCCCCGATGCTGTGGCTGTGGTTGACAGGAAGGGAACCGATTGGAGGCCGCACCACGGCCGCCTGTGGCCTTGACGAACGCCGTCTCCTGGCGAAGCGAAGGAATCAAGCACCGCAAGAACGAGATTTTCCTGGATGTAAGCATACATGTACAGCAGTATTGACGGCTTGTATTGACTTGACATGCACATAATGACGACTTGTAAAGAGCCCTTCCCTCCCATTCGACACGCGAGGCCAAGCAAAAACAAAATATCGACTGCTGTTTTTATCTTTAATCCATGGCCTGTTCTTCCCTTGCTCCTTTTGTCGATCCGCCACGCGCCTGGTGCTTTGACCGACGTGGCTGCCCGTTCTTGATTGTTTTTGCCCCGACATTGCCCCGTTTCAAGGCATGTTGGTATGTTTTTCTACTGTTCTTTTGCCCCCTCCTGTCTGGTCTTCTCCTTTTTCCGTCTTGTCGGGGACAGTGAAGCTTGTTTTTGTGGTTGAGTATCCTATGCTAGGTTTTCCTGCTTACGGCAAAATGGGGTACCTCTTTCCTTCGTGGCCAAATGGGTACAACACCTTGTTCTCGGCCTCAACTTGTCAATTTTGCTATATTCGCACATCTCTTCGGGTTCTGGTACTTATGATGGCACACGCTTAGTCCATGTTATCGTTTGCCGTACGGTAGGGTGGTGATGCGCGTGCCCCTGTCTGCTGAAAAACAATAAATAGGTCATTTTCATGAACCCAAGCGTTGGGTGTTGGGTCTATTTTGTCGTCTGTCCAAGCCATCCTGCTAGATGGATTCATTTGGGGTAGCAAAGTGAGATGCCATGTTGCTTCGATACTAACGTGGTATTGCGCGCCAGAACGCGTTATGGCGGCAAGTCACGGTGGCTATTTCTCTTACCCTTCTCTCTTCCCTCCCGTCCTTGCTATTGTAGGTGGTGGAGAAGCTGAACCTGCTCGAGTCTTCCAACGGAACGGTGTTACACTCGGAGATCGTGGGTGCCGTCAAGATGAAGGTACCTTTTATGCGAACCCACAGTATATCTCACGTACCTTTTGATGTCTGGTCCGTTCTAAACGGGTCGCGTTTCCCGACAAATGCTTTTGTTTCTCTCTCATTTGATCCGAATGCATTAAAAGGCCGCGTTGCGTTTGTCCCCTTCAAACTACGTTGTGTTGGGTTTGGCCAACGCATATGTTATTTTTCACAACATTCGTTGTTGCTCGTTTGAACGATTGCTGGAAAATCAGGAAGTAGAATCGTTGCAGACGAGCGGTTGGCTTAGGACCCCCTCCCCAAAGCTTCAAAGTTTTTTTTATCAAGAAGCTATGTACACACAGTCTCGTCTGTTCACAGACTTGAAACATGAGCATCTCCCTCTATGTGTCCGTCTTCCTGCCTGCCATTCTCTCTTTCTTGCTCTTGCTTCCTTTGCTGACTCTCTCTCTGCCCCACTCTTCATCCCGGGACCTGGCGTCTGGTGTCGGTTGTCTGGTGTCTGATGTATCGTGCCTCAAGTCTTTCTTGTCTGGCATGCCGGAGCTGAAGCTGGGGCTCAACGACAAGCTGCTGTTCGAGTCTAGCGGGCGATCTTCTGGGACGAAGAAGGCCGTTGAGCTCGAGGATATCAAGTTCCATCAGTGAGTGCTGCCGTGACTTACTTACCTTGCCTAGGTGTCTCGCTGCTTCCCTCCTCTCCTCCAGTACTCGACGGACCGAGCGGGGTAGTCGTTTCGTGACGATCTAGGCATACGGGTTCCTGACAGTGACTTCCCGTTTTCGTTGTTGCTCTGCTTTATGGTGGGAAATGCTTTCGATCAAGTGTTTGTCTGCCTGTCCCTGTTGCTCTTCTTCGATGGCGCTTTTTTTTGTGGTCAAGTACGGTAGTGACCCAACCCAAGCGACGAAACCTCCTTCTGTTTTCGTCATCCTCCTCCCCCCTTTACTACCGGGTTTAGACTCCTCCTTTCGTGATTACCCTCCTCTCTCTTCGCTTGCTGTTTGGCGGGCTGTCGACTCTTACTCTCTTTTTATCTTCCACGTGCCGTACTTGTGTCGTCCTTTGATAGCGCTATACTGGAAAATGATGTAGCCGTTACAATTGTAGTGCCGATGAGTCTTTCGCTCTTTCGCTAATCCTGTGTGTTCTTGTGGCGCCTTTTCCGGCATGCTTTGCCTTTGCCTGCAACGATTATTTTCCATGCGTTCTTTTCAGCCGTCATCACCTAGCACGTATCCACGCCGAAAATATGTCGCCGAACGGCTGGAACGCTATGAAACTACGGCAATGGGTGCATGAAGAGAGATACATATTCTCTAAGGGCACGTGCTGCCGTTGTCCTCTTCATGACTCGTCTCGGACCAATTGTCCGGCGGCGCCCCTCTCATGCGTGCTCGTGTCTTCCGCCCCCGTCCTGCGTGGTTTTATTCCGATCGGAATAGGTGTGTGCGACTGGCTCGGTTCGAGAACGACCGTACGATCTCCTTCATACCCCCCGATGGGGAGTTTGACTTGATGACCTACAGACTCACCACGCACGTCAAGCCGCTCATCTGGGTGGAGGCCGTCGTCGAGCCACACTCCCACAGCAGGATAGAGTACATGATCAAGGTACGTGCGTGCGCATGGGTAGTAACAACTTTGCGTTGCACTACTTCTCCCTGTTTGTGTTCTTGTCTCGCAATATCCTTGGAGGAGGAGGATGTTTCAAGTGTGTGGCCTCCTCTCTGTGTGACTTACCCTGGAGGTACATTGCACCTCTACCGAAGGTACGGCCAGAAAAATGTAGACCGCACACACACACACAGACACACGCGGGGTCCCACATCATTTCATTAAGGAGCATTTTCTGTTTTCAACCGCACTGAGACTGACATCTTTTCATTGGCCAGCTGGGCAGGGCTGTCGATGCTAATAATGAAGACACACACGCACATACCTACGTGCGCGCTCGCTTTTGCTGCTATTGCATTGCTGTTATGCATTGCTGTTATTGCATTGCTGTTTGTGGGAACGGAGAGTAAGGTAAACAGGCCTGCCGTGTGGAAACTGCGGCAGTTTGAAGCAGTGGACTTCCTCTTCTTCCGCTGTAAAGTTGGGGCGCTTGGTCGAAAGTCCGGCTGCCTGCAACACATTGAGTCCTATGCCCAGTCGGATGGATGAGTAAGCCATAATCTTTTTCTCCTTTTGCGCTCGTGTTGACTTGTGACCTTTGTGTGCGTTCCGTGTTCTTTTTCCTTTTTTCTTTATTTGTGATCAGGCCAAAAGCCAGTTCAAGTCGCGTTCTATCGCCAACAACGTGGAGATCATCATTCCCGTACCGAACGACGTCGACTCGCCCACCTTCAAGGCCTCGATCGGAAGCGTGGCCTACCTACCCGACCAGGTGAGAGGAAGAGAGAGAGAGGCCTAATGGGATAGGGGCAGCGGGTGTTGATAGGGCAACTCCTATCTCTTGAACCATGTTGGCGGCAGTACATTGTGTCAACTCATTTTGCTCTCGCCGTGCAGCGAGTTTAGCACCAAATGAGTTGTGACATGGTGTGGTGGTTGTTTATTCTACGTGTTAGGAGAGCTTCCTAGCTTTTAGCCCTACAGCAGTTCGCTCATTTCGGCTGCTCTGGTTGCTCCCATCAATCGAGTAGTCGACGCTTGCGCGGGTGGGCGAGTTTGTGGGATTGGTTATCGAGTTATTGACTGGCGAGCTAACCCCTGGTCGGCTTAGCTTCGGTCGATCGATCAGAGCGGCAACGTTGGCGTATTGTCCAAACTATGAGGATCGAGTCCTCCTATGGAGCTCCTCAACCGTTCTCAAATGGTTCAAGAGCGGTCTGGTCGTGGTGACGTGCAGTAAGACGCAAGTCAATTGGTTGCATCTGGTCCGGGTGCTTTACATATGTTGGTTCGAATTCTTCTCCTCCTCTTCTCTCCCGGTGCAACTCCGTCCGGTGTAGCGGACCGTCTCCATCGTCACCTGTTGTATTGTAGTGAGTATTCACCCGTCCCCTTCGTGGACCGTCCGTGTCATGCCAATGTCCGTGTCATGGTCGATCAATGGCTTGCAGGACGCCGTTGTGTGGAGCATCAAGCAGTTTAACGGCTCCCAGGAGTACCTGATGCGAGCACACTTCGGACTGCCTAGCATTAGCGCCGAGGACGCCCGCGAGTGGAAGGCCCCTATCCAGGTCAGTGTTGTAACGTTTTTCCTACCTCGTTTGTGCCGCTGTTTTTTTTTTGGTTCTGGTGCTGCCAAACAATCAACTGGTTGTGTTCGTTGTCGGAAGATGTAGAGCGTTGGGTAGTGAGAAAGGCGTGTTTGTGAGTCGTGCTCTCTCGCAAGCGGTATCTTCGGAACACTTGAGGTTTTGGAGATGCCCAGGCTCAGGGCAACCAATCAGTTTTCGTTCGAGGTTTTTAACAGTTGTGTACCTCGAAACACTCAAGATTCAGGAGGCGGTACTCCATACTGTGACAATATGGCGTGTTATCTATTATACGTACAGTAGATGCTTTGAGTTTGGCCAAAATTGTGTTCGAGCTATTTTGTTTGTCACCAGCTACTAACATGTGAACAAATTGAGACGTTCTGAGGTCAAACGGGAATGCATGTTTTCACGCGGTTTGTGGGCGCGGCATAATACATTTGCAACAAAAGCCCTGGGGCGCTTTCTTGATTCCATTATTCCCGTGAAGAAAATAGTCACCCTCCTCCCTCCGTCCCTCACCTTCGAATGTGGACGAGTAAGCGTCACAGAAGAAACCACTTTGAACGTGCTTCCTTTGATGTCCATTCCGGGGCGGTGTTGGCATATCAATAGAAGACATATCAGTTGAAGAGAGTGCGGCGGTGGAGATGGATACGGAGTTGTTTCCGGAGGCAGACAAGACAGCAGTTGGAAGCATGCTGGATTTTGGAAGCAATTTTCAAGACAGCAGTTGGATGCATGAGCGTGCCACCGAACACGCTTTGCAACACACTTACTATTGCTAACTGCTGTGAACGTGCCTGCAATACGTTCTGAAAGCTGGGAACCGATTATTGCTGCTGCTAGGGTACATTTATCGCGTCAGACATGGCATGTACTGTACTGTGTCGTTTTGGCATGAGTGTGTGCGAAAATGTTTATTATACTGTCTTCTTGTCTTGCATCGGTGATCGTAGGCAGTGAAATGGAGGCATCACTGCGATCCGAAAGGGAGTCCGTCCTACAAATTCATTCGATAGTTCTTCTACAATATGCATGTACCGCTCTTGTTTTTCATTTCACGCTTGATGTTTGCTACCCTTCGGTTTTCACTTCGGTGTGACATTCGCTGGCTATATGCATACCTGTCAACAAATTCAGGTGAAGTTCGAGATCCCGTACTTCACGGTGAGTGGTATCCAGGTCCGATACCTCAAGATCATCGAGAAGAGCGGCTACCAGGCATTGCCGTGGGTTAGGTGAGACAAGAAAATACTACTTACTGTTGGTAGGTGTAGATAAAGTGGACACCCAGTCATCCGCGAAAGTGGTGAGAACGTGACAACAGGGCCTGCTACCGGTGTTCCCCCATGCATCCTGAGCAGCTTTGTCGTGCCCGTTCTCTTGACGTTTTGATCGTTATTCCCCATTCGGTTTGGTACCATAAAGTACGATCAAATTGCCAAGCTTGGTGCCTTTGCTTCCTCTCAAGTTTCGAAATTGGTTGTCGGATGGCGATGGATGATGTATCTCCGTATTTTGACGGTGGCTCACTCTTCAACTGCGATGCTTCTCCTGCTCCCTCGATGCATGACTTGTACCGTACCAGGTATATCACCCAAAATGGCGACTATCAGCTGAGGATGACGTAGAAGTGGTGGCGTAAAGAGAGGCAGCTGCCAAATTTGTGGAAGGTTTACTGTTCCAATGTCAAAATCTTCCGACTCGTAGTAGTGGGAGTCCGGATGATCGGGTGATCAGGCCAACTTTTGTGGTATTATTTTTTTCGTCGTGGGGAGCCGAGCGAGAGGGGAAGAGGGTTCGTACTTCCTTCTCGGTAGCGAGGAGAGGGGAGTGGGGGCGAGCTTTCCAGAAATACTTTATTCGTACCATGATAATGCACATTCGCAACGTGTTTTTGTTCTTGACCATGGAATTCGTGGTCGAGAGGGCAAGCAAGGCCCGTTTTATCGCTGCCGTGGAAATTGTGCTGTCGATCATGCCTGCATCTTGCTTGGGTTGCATGGCAGGCAACCGAGGAGGTTTTCCGTGGAGAAAATGCTGAAAATCGAGATGTTCGCAAGATCCGTCGCGTGTAAGACGGGGGCGAGAAACGTAATCGGTGCTGGGGTGGAGAGGTTTGCGCGTTGAGACGCTTGCCTTACAGCTAGCGCTGAATCAACCTCTCCCGGTGGCCAATCGGCGTGCGTGCCCCTGTTACGGGAATCCGCACTAGGCCGGACAAGAACCATGCTATCGTGATGTCATGCTGAGTGCCATGTCTCGGTGATTCCTACCTTTTACAGACCGAACACGCGTGAGGCCAACAACAGTAGGCTACCGGAGAGGAGCAGAAACCTGTGGCGTTGTTTCTGATTTCTATATCACCCCGGAGTGTTGCACCCCTTAGACCCAAAAGAAATGACCAACACTCCATCCACCTTGAGATTGCTACTGCCCATGACCAATGTTGCGCTCATGTGGTTGACGTACGTGTGGAACACCCTCGTGAAAATCCTGGCCATCGAACCCGTGTATAGGCAAAAACACCGTGTCACGGGTACGCTCCCGGGGGAGGTGCCCCAGCTCCTCCTCTTGTGCTTGAACTTTCTGTCGGACACGATAAGCTCGCACTACCGCTCTGGTCGTCGTGTCTCTACACGCCGAGTAGGTTGTACGACAATAGCCACAACCTGACATCGTCCGGTTTTCACACCCTGATGGTCGTGCAGCAGTTCAGCAATGAGAGTCCGTTTACGCGGGATGCGATCCCTCCTAGACACTAGAACGTTGCCCGCAAATCTGTTCATCCAACAGGTGTTCGCCTGGCTCATTGACGATGAAGTATCATAACAAATAACTCATTTCACGTTGTCACCAGTCATGAAATCTCGGAGACATTCGACCTATTGAGGCAGGGACAGTATTGCTGCTTCTGAACACCGGTTACAGATACGGGGCGGAGTACTGGCGGTGCTGCACGAAACTGAACGGATATTGGTCTCCTCGCCTTTCTGCGGAACAATCTCCCTCACAGCTGAGGTGCCGCCAGCCCGAATATTTTTCCCGCCTGCATTGCAATGAACGGACTCGTGTTCAGGGTCCAGTTTGGCCTACTTTTCCATCGGGGTTGCCGTTTGACGCCGGTCAGGCATATGCGGACATGCTTCACATTATTTCGGAGGAGGCCGCTCCGTCGCTGCAGTTCAGAAATATTCGAAAATTCAAATTCGAAAAAAATTCTCCTCATCTTCGCAGGGATTGGCCGCATCATGTATCCATGGCACAACATATATATCTGGGGATGAGTTCGGATTGACCTGTAGTCTACAAGCGTGGGCCGCTACCGTGCGTGGGCAAGTATGCCATGCTGTTGTGAGACACGAAAACGCGTGCTACAGGAATGGACGTGATCAGTTGTTGGTATGTAACAATACATGTGTTATTTTTCGAAGACGGTCGATTCACGGGCCCCCTTGAAGAGCTCCCGCAGTGGCTCCCCGTGCCCGTGCCTCCCACAAGCCCACTTCCGGTCCCTTGCTTGCTGCGCAAGCATGATACATCGCTGACGGACACATCAGACACTGCTCAATCTCCGGCAAACGCTTCTATCGAGAACTTAATCACCCTAAGAACACATCAAAGGTGAGGTGCGTGGATGAGAGTGGTGGCCGCAGTTTCAAGTTGCAAGTCTTCCCGCCGACACGCCTGCTGTCGGATGTGTTTTTTCGCCGCGAGTAAATGGGATCTTGCTCTGGGCGTTCCGACACCACTGCTGTTGCGGCAGCACACAAAAGCACCACAAGGACCACCTTTCCTCCGGGCTTGGCAGAATAACGATGCAAGCATGTTCAGCAGCGCAGGTACACGGTTTCGTGTTCCCGTATATAAGCCCGCTTGCAGGTGACACTTTTCGCCTATACCCCATCCCGCTGTGTCGTGCCACATCTATCTGCTGGTTTGTCTACTGCTGTATCCAACCAGCGAGACAGGCATTGCTCTAGTTCTTCTCCAGTTTGATCATATTTCTCAACACCCGCGTGGCTTGTCTTTCGTGTACTGTGGTCTCAGCTACCATGAAAAATAAATTTGATGTCAAGTGTTTGCGGCACGACAGAGTACTGAATAGACTAAAGACATACCGTAGGCTGCAAAAAAGATATCACACCTCCTGCGGGTCCGATTTTCAAAGCTCGATTACTCGGCAGGAAAAGCAGTGACGGTGCCGAACATGGCGGCGTTGCGATAGCTTATCCTTTGATTTCAGTATTCGCTTCGTCGTGGAGTACAGAAGCTTTGAAAACATTCCAAGAGGTGTGGTATCTTGTGTCATGCAACTTACGGTAGTGCTGACAGGGCTGGTGCGGCTCCTGGTGCAGGTGTAACGCTATGTAGCAAGGTCGGGCTCCAGAGAGTACTTACTGGCTTGACTGGTACGTAGTCGCGTACCGCCACTCATTAAGCAGTCAATCAAGCTAGGGTGAGCCAACTTTACTGAAATTTATATTGAACTTTCTATGCGTATGCATGCATGATTCTTCGAAATTTCGAAATTTCGAATATCAAGCGTGCCTGAGCATATGGGCATAACTTGGAAAATTCGACAATACTTCGAAAAAGAAATTTTCGAAAAGTAGCAAGACGATGAAAGCCAAACATATGGAGCTGCTTTATTTTGTGTGTATTTCGAAGGATACTTTTTCGGAGAATTTCGAATAGAACAAGCGAAAAAAAACCGTTATTCTTTTCGCCGTTTGGGATTTTGAAACGAAGAAATTGACTCCAGATTGGAACGGCTCTTAGTTCATTTTTCCGTCAATGGAAGTGACACCTCTCACCCCTTACCCCCTGGCACAGGCGTTTGCCAAACAAAATATCGTTCAACTCGTAGCCGACTAGTTGACCATATTTGGCTGTGCGATGATCTTCACCGTCGGCGAACTTGTATTCCGGCTCTGCCTACAGCATTTCCAACGATCATATTTTCAAATGTCCGTTCTCGAGAAGAGGAGCGGGGATGTTTTAAGAAGGCGGCGTCTTCCTAGCTTTCATTCTATGTTGTCGGTTTTCTTCGCGCTCTTGAGAGAGGATTCACCTTTGTTCCGTGTTGCCGAGTTACATGGTATGTGGTTCCACGATCGGTAGACAAAACATAACTTCGAACCCGGCGAGGCGCGATCACGCACCCTTATCACGGGACGGAGACTTTGTTGTCGGGGTACCAATGGCGGGAGCTGGGGTATGCCACGAGGAAGTGATACCATGCGAGGGTGTGTTCTAGCGTTTGAAAATTTCGCGTAGGATATCGGAAGTGTCACCGCACTCACAAAACTACCGGGTAGGGTTTCGGAATTGCCATTGAACTCTACAGAATATATCAGATATGTGACCATGTCGTACAGTACCCAACAATCGGGTATGCTCACATGAATATTTACTACCTCTTGGTATTTTTCACAAAGGGTTTATATTCACGCTGTTAACGGGTGTTTAAATGTTATCGTATTGTCATTGTACCTATTCCCCGGGTGTTGGTCCACTGGGTGAACAGGACTCACAGAAATGCCGTGAGGTTGCAAAAGTATTTTAACAACTCGCGTAGGGCTTCGAAAGTGTCACATTACTCATAGAAGTATCGGCGACGGGTATATAGCCGGGAAATGCCCCCCGTAAGCTTGTGTTCGTGGCCTGCAGAAGATGCCATTCGTCATGACAAACGCTACTTCAGTTTTTTGGGTAAGTTAACGTTTTTTTTTGGAAGTGCCTAAACATGCAGATGTACTACGTTGTATTGTAATTTCCAACAAATTCGCGCATGAGCCTCCAGCAAGCACGGTATCGCCGAGATTTTGCCGTTTTATTTACTGCGTTGCATCGAGAGATCCGTTGGCGGAATTTGGAGTGCCGGGGTGAGATGTGACATGCGTTGGCGTACTTTTGGGTTCCGCGTGCAACGTGCCGTGACCGTCACGACTAGATTTTGAGAAACACTATATGGGGCCCGCACCAACTCACCGTCGTTGTGGAATTCCCAGGACGAGTACCAGCGCTTCCACGGGAAGCCAACCATACAAGACCCGTCCCATCCATGGATTCGGAAAACTATTGCGACTGTGAAAGCTCTATTCCCACCGTTGCCCTACTTTATGTTGGGGTCATCGGGTATTTCACAGGACTGCTTGCGGTTGCGACAGCTTCTCAGGTACGTGAGGGGTCGAAAGATGGCTTGTTGACCTTTGTTGGGGTTCACTTTCCTCGCCAAACGGGACGGCCACATGATGGTGCTAGGATACATCGCGCGATATCCTATTGACGTCATCTTCGTAAAACCGGTTTTGATGCAATCACAACCTTCTCTTTGTCCGCGAGACCTTCGCTTGACAGTACAGGTGTGGTACCGGTGTATTTGTGCACGTTGTTCGGATGAACCTTTGACGTGCGCGGTATGCTCCTGCTCACCTCGTTTTCGCGTTTTTTGAGGTGCATGTGGCCATCTCGTTCGCAAATCAGCCGCAGCGTCGTGACAATCTGAACGCCTAGCGTTTCAGCGGCCGGTGCAACAAGTGCCGAGAAAGCGTTGGGAAAGACAGAGATGTTGGTCGTGGTTTTCATGTGAACGGCGAGAAACATTCGTTTGCATCTCTCTCGACCGCAACCACAAACTTACAACGAGAGAGGACAGCATTGATGCGCAGCTCCTGGTCCGTAGGCAACGTGTCTAGGCAAACAAACTACTGCCATCTGCCCGCACTAGTTTCTTCCGGACGCAAGTGGATTGACTGCCTGTGTGGGATGCTTAGATCAAAGTGTCTCACCCGACTGAGCACATTCGGAATCAAGCTCTCCGTTGTTAGATGTGTCACTTGACCAATAGGCGAATTGTGGACAGCGCTCAACTAATGCAACGAACAAGTCGTGTCGACAGCGATGTTGTGTCTTGATCAAGCCGCTTGCATCGCGAAGAAATCTGTTTTTTGGAGGTAGTTCAACTGGCTTGTATCGAAGGGATGATATCTGACGCCATGAGTGAGGGGTGTGAACGCGTGTCGTTTCGCCTCGGTGCAAATATCTGATGTATTGCTACTGGAAATCATGATCATGATGATGCACGTCTGCAGAAACCATGGCCGAAATACGCTGTTCTGACGCGGAGATTTTGGCTCGTGCCGTCACCGGCGCCTGTATGGTCGAGATCATGCAACATGCAACTCTGGCGCAGTCGAAGTATTGGTTAATTGAATGATGGGCAACTGTCCCATCTCGCCGGCAACACAAGTAATTGTCGCAAGTTCAACATGCTGGACCAACACTTGTTCGAGGGGGCGCTATACTTGTATATTTTTGGTTTTTCAAAGTGCCGGAATACTTTTCGTTGGCATAATTTTCTGCGTCTGAGTGAAGCAGATCTTGCGCAAAGCAATAGTTGTTTCCCAACATTAGGTTCCCAGAAACCGGGTCAGAAGCAACATCTCATCTGCTGTTTCGTTCTTCCCTTTTTTTTCTCTTTTTTTTTTCCGTTTGCTAGCTTCTCCTAAGCCACCTCGTTGGCTATGTGAGCGACGTGATTGCCCCGACTCAGGAATTCACCGCCCGTACCAGACGTACCTGGTATCTTCTGCAGACGACAGTTACAATTCTGGTCATGGCTGTGGTTTTTGGGGCCCCCCCGGTCGCATTGGAGTATCTGCTCATGAATGGCGAAGACATTGGCTCCCGTGACGTGGAAATAATCGTGGCCACCCTGTGGCTCCTGTCTATGGGAGTAGTGCTGATCGACACGCTCGTGCACACGCTCCAGTCACTCGTTCTGCAAGTTCGTGGACGGGATAAGGGTGGCGGAGTTGCGGTTCTCCTGGCTGCAGCAGGTGCTTCAGACATTATCAATACGAGCAACGTCGTGGAAGGGTGCAGGGGCTGTTGGTATCTCGACGATATCAAAGAGTGGCATCTTGAGCGTCGTGAGTTGCACCAGCGCGCAGCGGACCGCATCAGCGGCCGTTGGGCCATGGAAGTTCCTGGTGTTGAGGGCTATGCGGAGCAGTTGTCAACAGACCATACGGCGGCAATAGACTCCGAGAGAGCCGCTGGAAGGCTCGCCGGGCAGCTGGCGCAGGTTGGTTCCCCAGTCGTGGCCCACCTGCAAACGGCTATCTCATTCAGCAAAATGATCGCGGGAAACCAGGCAGAAGCTGGAGAGAGCTTGGTTGCGATCGATGTGGACACCCAAGGGGACAACCTGTACCGCGCGCTACTGAACCGTGGCCGTGAGCACTACTGGGTCATGACAACTGATCGGTTGTCGCTTGGCGGGGGACCGATGCTGGAACCGAGGGTGTTGGCACTTGAGCACCTTCATACGCACAGGCGTGCATGCAAGTGGGACAAGAACAATGACGAGATGACGGTGCGGAACAGTGTTCTTCAATGGTACCGGGCCAGGGCAACTGCCTCAGCGGCAAGCGTACGCGGGGTACTTGGTAGGGCGAGGAGTGCAGTGCTTGCAGCAGGAGCTACCCCGTCCACCGTACTCCTGAGGGCTGCTCGAGCCACTGACCAAATCGACGCGTCTTGGTGGGGCAGGTGTGTAGACCTTCGAAAGGCGATCAGGGCCGGGGCAGCTACCTTCCAGCTGCCGGGCATCAGCGAGGCCTCTGACATGCGGTGAGAAGTCGGATACCGTCTCGCGGTATGAAAATGTGTTCGTAAATTCCGATTTTTTCGTTTTTTTCCCGTTTCCTCTCGTTGGGTACGTGGTCCATCTACGGTAGAAGAATCTTCAGGACCAACCGTGTTGCCTGACCGCCCAGAAACCCTGAAGCCTTGGTGTCTGGGGTGGTTGCTCGGCAAGTAATTAAACCGACATCGTGGTCCCCGCCATTCCAAGGACGAGCAGGTACACCATAAGATACCATTCCCTTGGACCCGAATGTTTGACCTCGACTACACCAAGACGACGAGTGTTTGGGAGCGAACTCGACGACACCCTTCCAAAGCCAACATCCTTAGCACTGTCGCTTTTTTGCTGCAGAGTATTTGAACATCGGCAATCTGTCCAGGGGTTGGTGTCCTGCAAAGACGACGGTATCCTCTTTTAAGACAAAAGCGTACTAATGCCTCACGTTGGAATTTGCCCTATGCTCTATTTTGACGTGTACAGCTTACACCAAGCCCGTCTCACGTCTCAAGGTGTTAGTCGGGGTTGGCCTGGACGGCGACCCCAAATCCCGATGATTGTAGACTCCCGATATTCATAGGGGTGCGATGAAGCCTCGACTTGTACTGGACAGAGGTCGGTGCCATTTTCAAGGTAAAGATTCAACGAAAAAATTCCAATGGCAAGGATATATTTTTGTTTTTGTACCGGTGCACCAAGTGTAGGCGCTTGCGTCAGCGCGGCGTTGTAGATTGAACCCGCAAGAATTTTCTTGTTGTGAACCCCCACCAAACTCTCGATAGAGACACCCTGTTTTGCTCGTAGTGCGTTTCAAGAGATGGGATACAGCAAATGTTTGAGCGTATGAACTCAAGTACCATGTACTGCAACCATGCCAAGAACGTTCCGTTTCAAAGTCACAGGAGGGTCTATCATATGCGACTTTGTAACTCATACGTGCGCGGTCAAACTGGATCCCGACATCATCTCACCGGTCCACGTTGTGCAAATATCTCGGTTCCCGATCACCTCGTGTTAACCATGGCTACAGGCAGCGCGTGGATGCGCATCTCTGTTGGATGCGCTTAGGGCAGGGCATGCCATTGACTGTGCGTGCCACCGCAGACGCGTTCATGACTTCAACGGCGAATATCGCTTCACACCCTGGGGGTGGCGGCGCGGGCCACCCAGGTGCAAACCTCATGGCTTCTTGCTGGGCCCGTTCATCGAGAGCGGGACTAGATGGCCTCAAGCACAGAAACGACTGGAGAGACGTCACGCTTGAGGTGTATGGGACGACCGAAAATCGGTGCGTTGAGGTGCGACCAGATGGCGAGGAAGTCATAGGCCTTGTGGATGCCCTCGAATTCAAGGGCGCCGGTGAGAACGTTGGTGGGATGCATGCTGAGTTGTGGTACAACTTGCTTGTTGTCGACCGCGTAGCAGTGATGGACAGGGTCCTGCGCGATCAGAGTATGCAGGTTGACACCTCGACACTGTACTACCTGGGAATGGAATACCTGGGTTTGCTCAGAGTAGCGACTCGAAGGGCCGGCAGGCATTTTATCCGTGTTGTGGTCCCACTCGCCGGGTTTGATGTGACAGCGTTCCTTGCGGATGGTGATGGCTCAGACGGGTCCATTGCAGGGCTTCAGGTGAAGGCGATGCAGGCACTTGGCAAAGAAGTATGGACCAGGGTTGTCAGCGCTCTAGGGGAAGAATCTGTACGGCGCTGGTACGATCGTCAATCCTTGCTCCCATCTGTTTCTCGGACGCATATTGTATAGGCGCCGGTGCAGCACAGCAAGCATGTTCTGGAATGAAAACCATTGCGAAACACGACGGATATATTGTAGTCCAGAATCGAGTACGGGACCTCCCGAGCTCGTTTCCTTAATTTCCTTAAACTGATCGATTCACGGTGCTCAAGGAAGGACGGATGCGTATGGGCCTTGACAGAATAGTTCGTTATTGTTTCGGTTGCTCGTCTGTACACGGAGCGGTGGTCGCTACAGTAGTACCATTTCAGAACAAGGGAGCCGGCGTAGGGTAGTTTATCACGGCAACATGGGCTCGTTCGATACTACTCGGCGTACGCAGTTGTCCGCGTGATGTCCACGTAGCATCGTTTCCATGTGGATGATAGCACCCATTAGTGTTCCACCGATTCCCTCTTGAATCCGAGCGTTCACAACAAGCTATTGTACAATCAGAATTGTGGGTTGGGAAACACCTTTCGTTGCACCTCTTGCAGTAAACAGAGAATAAGGTTCACCCCGAATTTTTCTGGGAACGAAGATTAGCGGGAAAGGGATGCTTTTGCTTTTGGGTGAGCCACTTTCGACGTCAAATAGGTCGATGGAATTGGAAAACGTGTTTCACCGTGTCGATTGCCCTACATCCTAGGCCAAACCCTCATGACCGACAATTGTTTGGGTTCGGTTGGGGTCGTTCGGGAGATCTTTTCGGCCGCCTTCGTCGATCGATCGCGCCGCCGTTTTCCGTCACCGCCGTTTTCCGTAGCCGTCGATCTCCCTCGCCCTTGTAGTTTATAGTACATTTCTCACCATGAAGGACCCGTGGTGCGCCATGTGTGAGTTTTGAAAATATGTTGGTGATTCACCATGATTTACCATGAGGCCACATAACATTAATTTCTCATTGTTAGATAACTGTTGGTACTGCGCACGTAATCTTTTCCATGAACCTCGTGGTGGTGCACCATGGTGCACGACAACCACCATGACTTCTGGCGTGTATCACTGCTTTTCTGACATGATAAGCTCTGCTGAGGTACGTGGTGTCTTCGTCTGTAGTGCCTAGCCAGGTCGAACTGCTTCGTTCGGAGGTTGGTTGTGAGTTCATAAATTGTCCCTCCCTTTCGAAAGCTGTGCCAAGTTTGAAACGCTCATTTCGGGAGTTAAGCAAATATTCTGCGGCATGTGGGAACCCCTGTCCCCTAGCGGAGTCCAGTGGCGTCTGGGTGCATTTTTTTTGTTTTGTCGAATATTTCTGTACAGCAGTAGCACCCCTACCGCTCAGATACATTTTCGACAAACGCTTCAACAACGGCGAAAAGACGATCGAGTGCCGTTCCCAAGTAGTCAATACCTGGTGTGCGCGACGACCGAGCGGGGTACCTGACAGCAACCGGTGAGCGTGGTCGTGGAGTGTGGTCAGACCAGATAGGGGGTTCTTTGTTCGTGAGGATAGATTGTTGTTTGTTCGTGAGGATAGATTCGCACGTACGTGTTTGGCGTTGTTTCATGCCTTCTCGGCACGATTTCGATTTTTGCAACGAACCCACACTTTCCTCCACAGCAGGTCGCGCGAAGGCACCGTCGTGTTGAGCCAGCAGAAGAACGGACCCGTCAGCTAGCTTGTTTGATTCTGTTTTTTTGTCATGTCCCACCAGAGAAGCGAGCTGAGAGATGAGGAGAGCATTCTCGGTTGCATAAGTAAAACCATTATCACGCGACCCTTTCGTTAGGCCTTCGGAGAGATTTTTTTAGTTTTTTACTTTTTTAATATTTTCCCTATTGCAATGAAGGTCCAAGTCCAAGACAACCGAACCTTCACCGCACACGGACCTCGACACACCCTCTTGAACCCTTTCCCGGTTTCTGGGCAAATATTCATTTCGCGGCAACGTGCTACTACGTGCTATGCATCAGCGGTACATCAGCGGTATTTTGTTCCAACGGTGCAACTGACGCCGACGGTAAGCATCCGGTTCCTCCACACACACACCTTTGCAACACACAATACACGATTCATTTATGCACGTACTTGTTTCACAGACAGGCACAGTTGTGCGTGACACAGTTCACTACAGTGAGCAGATGGACGCACCCACAACTACTAAGCCGCCGCTGCTGCATCTTTATCGTTGTGTTGTGTTGCGAGAACCCCGCCCTCGAGGTTCATCCCTAGCTAGTTGTTGATGAATTCTTTATCTGATTCGAACCGCAGACGTTCGTTCGGGTTCGACAGGTTCTGAGACGCATTCCGGAAAATTCTCGCGGCGCAGCAGCCCCTTTTATCCGCCACACGCGCTACGACCGCGGCCCTACCCTAACCTTCACGAACAATAAAAAGCACGCCAACCAAACCCGCGGTGCAGCGACCTCGTGATCATTCAGTGGCGTCGAGGTTGGGTATACGGTCCAAATGGGAATGAATCACGAGTTGTTGTCCTGCACAACAAAGTATTATTATGATAGACTTTCTTCCCATGTGGTGTGTATCCAACAGGGGATTCGACACGTTTATGGCAATGGTTGAACAGATGGGGAACCAGACAGACAGATGGAAAATAAACAGCATTGATTTCTGCTACCGACGCGCTCACTATACGCATCGTCCTGTGTCATATGCGAGAATCCGTCGTGGGGGGAATCAATTTAGGCAGGGGAACGTTCTTGCTTTACACAATGGGACAAGACCGTTTTTTTTTGGGGGGGGGGGGGGTACTCTTTTTTCTTTTGTGCCTACATACCTTATCTTCTTGTCATCTACCAGTACTTCAGAAGTTACTTGCGTCATAACTAGCGGCAATCAAATCGGGACAATGGGATATTTTTTTCCGCAAAGCGGCGAATCTCGCAAGCAGCTTTCTCGAATCTCCACTTTGACGTTATCTCTTGGCTGTCATATATATTCAGGGCGGGTCTTGTCACCGCAGGTGACCCCTTGCAAACTTGAGCTTCCTGGTGGGCGATCGCGTCCTCGTGCTTTCATCGAGATAGAGCAAAAAAAAGATAGAGGCACATTTTCCGACCGGATGGCAAACTCCGGTCCTGTTCGTGCGTCCCACACAACCAGAAAAATATGACGTGTCCTGCCGCCCGCGTCGGATTTTCAGAAGAAAATACAACCCGTCCAATGTACTACAGCAGTATGCAATACATATGCACACACGCACACAGCGGTGCACAGCATCATCAACGTCTCGCACCTCCGTATAAACTCATCAATCCCCCCTGTATGTGAAAGCACAGCAGTAACAACTATCTCATGATTGACGGAATTAATGGGAGGGACGCACATGCACATGCACAGCAGTAGATGCAGTAGATGTGGTGATGACAGATAGATGGGAGTCTTGCTGTTGGAAACGCAGCAGCAACGTCTCGTACGTCAGTAGCAACGCATGGCCTAATCCCCCCCGTAAGTGAAAGTACATCAACAGCAGCAGTATCAACAGACAAACCTGGTGCACATCAGGTCTGTCTCTGGGTGCGCTTTTTTTCTCGATGACTATCGATGCTTGAAAATATCGAAAACTATTATTGATGATAATAGCAGCCCCCCCCGCCGTGATACCGGCGGGCGGCGGGGTCCGAGCAATACCGCTATGATGGACGGATCGGGGTACGAAATCATGTACGACGAATGCAACAATCGTTTCTCCACGTATAACAATTTCAGTGGGACACCCATACATGTTGGAAAAGATTTTGGTGAGGTCGCGAAAGGTTGCAATCATCGCTGGAAAAAAACGAGAAATATCTGTTTTTATGCTCATGAATCTGGAGTTTTTATTTTTGTGAGTCGTGGACTCCCACGATTTCATCACGCCACCCGGCCTTACCCTACATCAAATCTTGCCCGGGTTCCTCATACACACCTCAGCTCGCTGCCCCTGCTCTTCCCATCTCCCGTGCATCTGCGTCCTACCCAAAGGCGCACAAAAAAAAAGAACCCGCACACCTAACCTCCACCCCACCCCCGCCCCTGCAGGGGCACCAGATTTTTTTTTTTTTTTCGTGGTACGTTTTTGTGTAGGCTTGCTTGGCTTTTCCCTCTCCATTGCGTGTGTGTGCTGGGTTTGTTTGATAAGCTTGAGACAATGAATGGCATGTAAATCCGGCGCCTCCGGCGCTGGAAGAAGTAAATTGCTCCTTCATAGTTAGCTATCTGTCTGCGCTGTGTGATGGGCTGGGGACATGTCTACCGTATATGACACAAGATACCACCGGTACATAAGATACCACACCCCCCACAGAATACCACACCCCGGTGGTAATTTTGGGCGTTTCTGACAAACCATCGATTTATCACCGGGGGTACATAAGATAACACACCCCGGTGATATTTTGGTTGCGCCGCATACATTCACGGGGGCCCTCCCTTCTTATCACCCGGGTGATACAGCATCTGCTCCTGGGCATCACACACACAGCCACGGCATCTGTGTGCGGGGAAACACCCCGCATGGAGACCCCCAACAACATGAACGTGCAGGCAGAACAGAATGCAGCCGCAAGTGCCTCCGCTCCTTCGACAACTGCTTCGACTGCAGCAGCACAGGCGCCTCAGCAGATCACCTCCTTCTTTGGACGCGCGCACACTTCTTCGGCGCAAGAGGCTGCTGCTCCTGCGCCTGCTGCTGTTGATCTAACAGCAGCAGGAGCAGCTGGCGCAGCAGCAAACGCCAACATGTCACACCCTGCATCGCCTCAGCAGCAGCCAGTTGCGGGCTCGCTCTCAGCAGCACGTACGAGCACCGCAGCAGACGAGTCAACGCGCACCAGCCAAGCATCTCAGGTGGTGGTGGACATGGTGGACGAGGAGCCCAGCACCTCCGTCGGCACGGAAGAACGATCCAAGTGAGTGTAAATGCGCTTCGTGAATTTGGCTTAGTATCAGTCCGCGTGTGGTCTCGAAGCGTGCAGTTTGGGCTTGGCTTTTACGCCACCCGCACACTCCAGGGTTCGTGTAATTTTTTCACATTTTTAATGGCGCCCGCCACACGTTCGGTACAAGTATACATTTTGTAAATCAATTTGTAAACTGTTCTGTGGTAGGCCTGTGTAATTTACCTAAATAGGTGTTTTTTTGTTTGCACCCCACATTTTTTGCAAGATATTTTTTGGGTGCATGCGCGTAGCTTTCCCCCACACGTCCCCGGCAAATGTTTGTGTTAATTTATGTGCCCGTGTTGTGACTTGTGACGCGTGTAGTACTTGTACGGAGTATATTTTTAGCCATACGTTCGCGGCATTTTTTTCAGTTGTATTTTGTGTGAGTTTTTTCCTGCATGGCGGTGTGTGTCGCGGAAAGGCAGCAGCTTGTGTTGCAGCTGTCATCCATACCACACAGGAAATTCAATGCTGCCTGCTTTGCACATTTTTTTTTCACCCCTCTATGTTTCTGCCCACACATGTTTCGGTGCGTCCCAACATTGACCGCTTCGTGCCATCCCGCACATGATTTTTTCCGTTTGTCTTCTCTAGGGCGAGCGGAGCCCCAGCACCGGCGCCAGCCCCAGCAACGGCGCCCGCTCCAGCACCGGGGCCCGCTCCAGCATCGGCGCCCGCTCCAACACCGGCGCCAGCTCCAGCAACGGCGCCCGCTCCAGCACCGGCGCCAGCACCAGAAGGAGAAGGAGCAAAGGCAGCAGCAACGCCGGCAGCGGGAGGAGCGCCGGTGGCCAACGATGGTGCATCCGGCGACATGATGTTTCCCGGAGAGACAGAATGGGGAGATGGGTTGGGCGGCGTTCTCTTCGATACACCGGCACAGAACAAGGGCAAGAGGAAGAAAGGGCAGCTGGAGTTGGAGCCGCCGAACTTCCCGATCCCCGAGCTTGGTGGTGGAAGCCAAAGGAAGCGCTATCCTCTGCAGTTCAAGGTGGACGCGGTGAGGTACTCACAGAGAAGGATCAAGGGGGCGCGAGGGCCGAACGGGACTGTTGGGATAACCTACGCCAGCAGGATCCTCAACATTCCCGACAAGGCGACGTTGGCGGAGTGGGTCAAGAAGGTCGGCAAGTACGAAGCCGCGCTTGCGGAAGCGGAAACGTA